GCGAGAAGAGAAAACCTCCCCACCGACCTTATTTAATTATCCCCCAGGATGTAACGGGGAGTAAAAATTTCTCCCCCCGTCCGAAACTTCGGGCAGCTTTCGGGCACGACCCGAGTACGTGACGCGTGATCGCAATTTCGAGCTTTAAGCTTGAACTTCCCGACTCGAGCTAGGTTCCAGAGTAAGAAAGAATATCCGAAGATGTTCGACGACAACGGCGCAACGTGACACCTAAATGCTCTACCAAAATGTAAACCAGCCATCGAGCGGCAATTTAAGAAGGGGTCGATAACGATACCCGATAACGCGATCAACCGAGGTAAGTAACCTTAAAGTCCCTTAAAACTTCCCCAGGAAGGACGTCTCCTAGAAAGTTTGTCACGTCAATTTGCAAGTCTCGTAAAATACGTTCGATGCACTTGAAAGGAAATTCCAATTAACAAGCCAGAAAAAAGAAACACAGGATTCTGGTTATTTTCCCTGGATTAGATCGTTAAATATGCTCCTACTATTTTTCTTACTTAAAGTGTCGAATATTTCTCCCGGAATGATTTCCTCCTAGAAATTAATCCAGCTATTAAAATATGGATATATCCACCCAGACATGAAATTTCCCTGTCACGTTAATCAGACTTTCTCATTAATGCTACCTAGATATCTCCCAACCGGTCACATCTAGCACCACCAACTGGGACTTGTTTTATGCATTGGCTAAATATTTTCGTCTTTTCTTTTCCTTCCTTTAATTTTCCAAGCATCACACTTAACACTGCAGGGTAAGGACCAGAAATTAAGGCAGGACGTTTTATCCTCCTTTGTCTGGAGTGCCTCCTCGCCTCGGAGAAGAGGCTTGGAAAAGGCGGAGCAATTAAGCTCTAAACAGGATTAATCGCTACTTAACTCGCGATATTAACGGGCCAGCGACAGCAATGACTCGAGGCGGCTTTACATTTTCCCAAGCCACCACTCGAGTAGGATGTCCAATCAACCGCGGATCAAATGTCATTAACAAACCTACCAACATCGGCGGCGATACTTCAAAGCCACCCGATCAGATTCGCGCGATGCAGCCTCCACTTTCGCCGAGTCTGATCAAACGCTATTTGCAAATGCCATTGAGAAGCTCCAATAGCACTTGCAAACACCAATCGACGAGCAGTGCTCGATCAGTCGATAAGATTACATCCGGAAAAAGAGGCCAGCCGTCCGCCCACGTCCCAGGGATTTATCCGATAGTTAATCGAACGCTCTTTGAGCAGGACAAATTCGGCAAGGTACTTAGTAGGACGAGTACGAGCGGAGTACGCGACTGGATTATGACCGAAAACCTATTATTCCCATAAATCCACCCGCGGAAGTGGCCCCACGTGGCAGAGCAGAGAGAGAGAGCGAGAGAGAGGAAGCAGGGATTCCGCAGATTCCCGCAAATCGGAAGTTACGGAGTGCCATCCATTTCGTTCATTGCCTTTAAATCTCGATAACAAGTAACTAGTGCGCCATTTGCCTCCGCGACGAGCAAACGAGGTAATTAATTATTAACGGAGCGATCGAGGGCTGGAAGCGGAAATTTCACGATATGGCATCCCTCTATCTCTCCCCGGGCTATCCACTTCCCTTAGGAGAAAATCCATACGGCCGAATCCAAGTTCTGGGATAATTATTGATCATCCATCGAGCGGATACTCGACACCGAGCCGTCTCGCCGAGCCGAGGAGCTCCTCGTTTAATATTCATGGTATCTCCGCGCAAAGTGGGCTATTCTTAGGTAATATAAATGATAATTGTGCTTTATTGCCTCTCCCAGGGCGAACGGCCCCCCGGTGGAGCACATTAACAATCATCAACGACAGCCGGTGCCTCTATTTGCGATGCGCGCGAGTCGTCCTTTAATCAGGACACTCGGGAGTGACGAGCGAGATGGCCGAAATGCCGAGAGAGAGAGAGTACTACACCGATGAAGACGACTTCCTGGTTCCCGAAGGACCAAAAATGCCTTTCCCGATTTTCTATCTTTTTAATTATACGGCGCTTTTCTACGTAGTTCCCGATTTTTGGGGACTCCAAATCGACTCAAGCTTCGCTACCGAATTTCGATCGAGAATTCTAAATCGAGGATGGTCAAAAAACCGTCTGCGAAACGCACGTCCGGTTCCGCCGCCCGGGTCTTGTCTTGACCCACGTCGAGGTGTCCTGGGACAAACGATGCCCCGCGCCAATTTCCCGGGAAGTTAATCCCGAAGGATCATATCGCATTACTCGGAGAGCTTAGGACGTAAGCTCGATCGCGCGGCCGGGTTTCGGTAGGGGAATTCTCGAAGATCCTCCAGGATCACGCGGCTGATTGTGCGCGCGTGGCCGCCACCCTACGCGTGTGCGCCCATTGTTCGCGGGGGGTCCTCGCGGGCTGGGGCGTAATCCTCGAATTACGCGGTCGCAACCGGGAACGGCAACGATTGCGCCCCTCCCCACCACGGGTGCGTACCTACGGTAAACGCGTTCGTAATGCCCCGTGATAATAGCTTCCTGCATAATAGTTTACTAATGACGCCGCCATTACCGCCCACCGGCGCGATCCGCCTGGGAATTTACGGCCACGCGGGTTCGCGGGGGGTCGATCGCCACCCGCGCGAATTCTGCCCGCGGAATTCTGCGACTTCCTACTTCCCGGCGGCCTCACTTGTCCGGAATGACGTGCGCCAACCGGCGGAATAAAGTCCCCACTCCGGAATTAAATACCGAAGAGGCGGTACAATTAACGACATTGCCGCGATTTAACGCCCGTTTAATATGTATATCGTACCGTTTAAATTGATTTTCGAGGCCGGTCGAGCTCTCGTCGGGGACTTTAACGCGTCACCAGGTGCAGAGGGGGTGGTTATGCTTTTATGCTTTTATGCGCGGCCGTTATACCTATAGCGCGGTGCGGTGGTCCGCGCTGATTGGTTATCACCGGAGCAAGATTATTAGGTGGCGTTAATTAATTCCCGAGAGGGGCCTCGTTGTTCACCTCGGCTCGCTGGAGCCGATGGAACGTCATTTTATATCTGAGATACCCTTGTTGAAAAAAGAAAAAAAAAGAACAAAAACGTGTGGACAATTATCTGTATTTCAATTTATTATGCGTCGCTACCAATTATTAATTACTATTTTTTTTATTTTACTAATGGAACGTCGTTTTATATCTGGGAAACTCTTATCAGAGGAAACCCACAGTGGGAATGATTATCTGCATTTCAATTTCGGGGGATGTCCTCGGTGGAACGAGTTCTTCGATCGGGACGCATCGAATCCGCGGGGTGCGTTCCCACCCTTCTCGCGTTACGCGGGAATTATGCGTCGCTGCAATTATCACTAACTATTGCCCCTCTATCTTACCCACGGGTCCGTAATTATGACCGGTTGTTCGTTAATTTGGGAAGAGCCGCGAAATACACCCCATGTATCCAGGCCATGTCCCCCGACATAATAGAATGAGCCAGTGGGTCTCATTCGCGAGCACTTCCGTTGGTTTCGGCTCCACCGCGCCGGTTCCATCCCTTCGCCCCTGCGGAAAATACGCTCAATGAAACCCCGATTACGCAAGCATGCAAATGCACGTGCAATTGCGCAGAGAGAGGATGAAATACCGTAAGAAACTTCCACGGGTTCTTTCCAGAAAATGATGACCCTGTATTTCCTTTAGCTACTAATACTAGCGACCCTTGCGGAAAAATGATGCAACTCGCTCTTCCAATATGGCGGCGATTAAAATACCAGTCAGATGTGGTACCGGTGTGGTAAAAACCCACGGCTTGGGTTACCGGTCTCGTCTCTTTTATTTATTATATTTGTAAAATGTTTAATAATATGGGTCTCGTTGGTTAATACATCTTTCGTAATTATCGTCTATTTTCTAGACGGTGTTATGACGGACTTTTGTGAAAGTTTAAGTGTCGGGTTTTACCGCAAGTGTCGCTAGTGACGCTGGTGGCCAACTTCCCAGAGATATAGGGTTACTCATATGGAGAATAATTAATTTATTAAGAACACGCGATTCGTGTTGACGGCCGTACTTGCCGATATTCTCACTTAAGTTATCGCGGAGTTAACGCCGGCTTTAACGACCGCGCCCCGATGCTATCCTACGAGGTGCTCTCGTACCTCGCGCGACAATATTCTTGCCGAGACGAGGGAAGTGGGCTACTTCCTTTGCATACTGATGGTTACTGAAATCGCGTTCGCGCTGTACTTGGACCATCGGGTGTTCGGTTATTGTTAATACCACCCGGTAGTTCACGGCAACGTTTAGGAAATTCTTAAGAAAAACGGGAACATATACTTGGAAAGAATTCCCCACTCGAACGCTCTTAGCTTTAGTACCGAAAAAACGAAGGACATCGATATACGCGCATGCGCATACTCTCCGGAAAATATAGTAAACCCAAAAAATGAATATATGAAAATATACCCTCGAAAATCTATACAACCGAAGACAACCATTCCCTGCTTAGTTGTTCATACATTTCAGTGGCAATTGTTAATACATCAAATATTTACGTCAGTCCACCTAAACCTTGAAAAAATGTCCAGGAAGTCTGAGATTAGACAGCGGATAAGTTACTAAAAGTCAAGAATATTAATGGTGCATCGATCTCGTTAAATTTACTGAACAGGTATTTTTCATATCACTAAGTATGGAAAAATCCATTTAAACGCAGACTGGACAAAATATAATCGAAATGATTATTCGCCATCTCTTACCCGTCAATCCTGATAAAATGAAATACAATAAAATAGGAGGGATAACGTGGCTAAAAAATGGATGGCTGTCCGTTGGAAAATGGAGAAGCCACCGTGATAAAATATTGTGAGCAGGATCCCTGAATTCGGCCGCCACTGGGGACACCAGATGGCAAGTGCGCGAGCCGCCCGCATTCTCCACCGAGGGCAGCACAGAACGCGGTCTCGAGACCCTACCAATGAGCAATCTTCCAACTCATCTCTGCCCTGTGCCTCACTGGATCACTGGACTGCGCTGGAGAATCGTGCATTCGCATGGTTGGTTGTCATTAATTGTCATCGTCATCACGTTGGGTCACGTTGGATGAACGTTTGTGAACGTTTCCGAGTAGAATTTGGTAAAAGTTAACTCGCAACCGTAGAGCGGTTTAAAAATTGACCAGTGAATTAAGAAGTAGAAAGCGCAGCGAATGGTGGAAAAATGTCGGAGTTGGGGAATTGGTTGAATTCTGTTCCAATATTTACGAGATATTGGTTACTCTTAACGGCGGGACTGACCTTACTAGGAAGATGCGGTTTCGTGGATTCAATTACCATGATCCTCCTGCGCGACCGCTTTATACATAATTTTGAAATCTGGAGACCCGTCACTAGTTTATTCTTTTATCCCCTCAATCGCGCCACGGGGTTCCATTTTTTGATCAATTGCTACTTCCTCTACAATTATTCGTTGAGGCTCGAACGAGGAGTATTCGATGGAAGGCCAGCTGACTATTGCTTCATGTTATTATTCAACTGGATATGCTGCGTCGTGATAGGACTTTTTGCAGACTTCCATTTACTTATGGATCCTATGGTTTTAAGCGTTCTCTACGTTTGGTGCCAATTGAACCCAGAAATTGTGGTGAACTTCTGGCTTGGTAAGCTATCGTTAACTTCCTTTTTATGGCAACCGTATGAAAAATTTATCACAAATGTCTTATTATTTCTCGTAGGAACCCAATTTAAAGCCGTGTACTTGCCATGGGTACTTTTCGGATTTAATCTCATCATTTCGGGAGGTGGAATGCTAGAACTAATTGGTATTTTAGTTGGACATTTATATTTCTTCCTGAAGTTCAAGTACCCTCAAGAATTTGGTGGTCTGGATTTATTGAGCACTCCAAAAATTCTTGAATACTATTTCCCACTGGAAAGGACCGGAGTCAGAGGATTTGGAAGCGCTCCTATTCAAAGACCAGGAACGCGTCCGGCGCAAGTTCCTAGAAATATGATGGGTGGACATAACTGGGGTCGAGGTCATGTCTTAGGGTGATTCCACTACATTAAAATGACTGTACACATTGTTAACTATTAAAAGTGCATTTCGGTACTTCATAGAGAAATCATAACATTTCAATAATATTATTTGACTTTACTGTGTCGCCCCGAAGTTAAGTCATTGGATCAACTAGATCTTGCAATGCATTTTGTAAATATTTACAGTTAAATTTAACACCCTACAAATACAATAAAGGAACTTTTCTAAATGATTATTTTTTAATCAGATTCTTTTCCCTCATTTATATCAACAATGAAATAAATTTGGTTCTACCGAAGAGGAATGTAATATTTCTGTATGAACTCGCATGAAATGACAAGAAATGTGATACATATTATCATAAAATTAAAATATAATTATCTAGTTTACAACTATTTCCTCTTTGTACAATTATTTGTCAGTAAAATACAGGAGACAATGGAAGACGAAAACATTAAGATTTTTCTTTCTTCGTCAGATGATACACCGGATGCAAGAACGATGCGTCGTCATCCGATCCGACCAGCCACTTCGTTAGAAGTTGATCGAGCGTTTCGATGTTGATAGTCTAAGGCATTAAAGCAAAGCAAAAATTATTCCATGAATAACTTCTGTGAATAAAATAACTCCCGACACTAAGACTCACCTCATCAGGAGAGGGTTCTCCAGGATTAAGCCTTTTATAAAGGAGCTCTACATCAGTAGCCCAAATCTGTGAACCTGCTCGTATCAACCATATTTTTGAATTTAAAGGGCCAATTACCGTATAGGGCTGCTTGGACATTCTGTAATATTAAAAACTCCAATATCAAATTATAAACTAATATCAGCCCATTGCTTCACTTTCCAAATTTTTCAATACGACGTAAGAAAAAAAGTAAAACAACGACTCACGGTTTGGACGCCTTTTCTTTTAATCTACTTATATCGATTGTCCAAAGCACGGTGGTCCTTTTAAGGTAGCCTTCCTTTTCTAACACTGGCTTTTCCTTTTTCATCTTTTCAAAAATCTTCAACAACGTATTCTTGGTCTTCGAAGCCTCCGATTTCTTTTGGGACTTTCGTGAAGTGTCCAACCGTTCATTTTCTTTTACTACGGAATCTCTGTAGTAACCACGCTCTTCTGATGATATCGCTTTCCACTTAGCAGCTAACATCTTCGCAACCTCGGCTGCTGAGAGTCCAGGATTCTCTTTCATAACTAAATCAAGTCATTATTTTACTAAACTGCGAAGTACACCAGGGTGTACACCACCATGCATTTAAACATTCCCCTCACTTTTCTATTTTAAATTATTTATATTGAGCACCGACCCCCGAAAATGATAAATAAAGTAACTTACTCTGCACTCTAGTTTCCTTGGCAAACCTATGAAATCCTTTGCATTTATCATTTCCCTCATTTGACGAGCGATCATGGACATTCTGCTCGTTAGAAATCGCACTGGCTTTCGTGGTTCCAAGTATCTGTACAGCTGTACCACCCTGAATAAGAAAGCAAGTAAAAATACATCTTATAAAGAAGAAATATGAAAGTATTAAAACGCGTTTCCTTATAAATTCGAGAAAGGGAATAAGGAATGGAACGAAGAACGTACTATTAAGCCAGGGATCTGCCCTTTACTCCAGAGCTCATCAAAATTATCACGTCCCTTGAACTTCTCGATAGTTGCTTCCGGATCAAAGATGGACAACTCATTATCCTTGTGATGAAAATTTGTAGAGGCATCACATACGAGATTTTCTTTATCACTAATCTCAGAATCGACTTGCGAGCTTGTAGATTGACTGTGAAGGACCTGATCTGCTTCCGTTACATTTTGAGCAAGTTCTGGCCACTCGTCATTTACCAAGTCCATGCTGTAACGATAGTCAGATAGCCCAATTATATTTTTCTAATTACGGGAAAGACTAAATAACAATGAAAAGAAACTTCACAAGTATTGATCGAACATTCAAAGGCTGAAACTATTCCACAAGAACTAATATCATACCTCAATTCTTCAGGTGTTGGATGGATGAAATGTTGTTCATCGGTATCAGTTGAATCGGTATCACAAATAGTCGAAATGTCTGACGTCAAATTTGACTTGTCATTCGGATTACAGGGCCGATCAGCTATCTTCAAATAATTCTTCATTGATTCGGTAAGAACGCGATTGTCCTTTTCAGTTTGAAGAATTGCGGAGTCATTGCTACTCTTGGCAAAATTTCTTTCTTTGTTATCGGTACTATGTCGTCTGTGAGCATTAGTTAGCTCATGAGAGACACGTTTCACGCGTTCACTTTTTCGATATAGGGAAACTTGGTGTTCCAATTCCTCAGATTCTATTTTTCGTTTTTTACACTGCACGCCGATTTCGTCTTCCGTCTCGTTCTCATATACAGTATCGTCTAAATAACCATTAGATGAATTGCAAGTTGTATCGGTTGATGACTTTTGTTCCTCGTGTATCTCATAGTACTCTGTTAAAATTTCCTTTAACTTCTGCAAAATAACCTGCTGTAAAAATAATTCCCAATGCACGATTATTCCTAGTTGCAAATTTTAAGGAGTTCTTGATGTTAAGAAACTTACCTCATTTTTAAGAAAAACTCGGGTTTTGTTGGGCTCCAAATTGATGTCCAAATCTGATGCAGGAACATGAATATTTAAGTAAAATAAAATTTCCCTAATACGAGTTCTTTCTTTAAGTAAGTTTTCAAAATATTGCGATATTCTTTCGTTCATAACCTGCGACCAAAGGGGTATGAATTAGCACCAAGGTTTTATCATGGTTGAAAAAATGAATACAGACATAATCCACATACCTTTTCAAATACTTTATAGCTGACGGGTCTATTATTTACAGAAATCATTGGCTGTCCTGAAAAACATATTTCCAAACTTTCCACTTCTTGTTTTTTAGGTACCATCAGTTGCAATTGAACCTGTTAATGTAATTAACCAAATGAAAAATGAAAGAACCTTTAAAATGTTTATGTACCCAACTTTAACTTCATACAACCAACTAATACTTATATACCTGATCACTCTTATTTTCAATCCAATCCAAATTTGAAACAATTTTCTTTCCTATCACAAAGGCTAATGCTTCTTTAGTTGTGTTAACTGCATGCTTCATCCACGTGACATTATCATTTACCCTAAACATTATCCTGAGACTAGGGTGACAAACGGCAAAACATTTTAATAAATAATCTAACCGTTTAATTTCTCGACTGATAGTTTGTTTATCATTGGCTATCTGTCTTCTTACAGGTAAATCTTTGAACAACCGATTTACTGTGACAGTTGTACCTAAACAAAAATATCAATCCATGAAAAAATTCCATATTATCATAAATTTATCATTAAAAATTGGATTCAATTAACATATATCACAACTCCGCCACGCTCAAAAAAGTTGCCGCAATTCTGGCTACTCACCAGTAGACCGATGTACAAAACATGTATTAACTACATTTCCAAGATGGTCAAAAGTATACAATGTTGCTGCTTCATCATCCTTTGTTTTCGTACTCACATTAACATCAGCAGCTTGGCATAACGCATTAAGTGCTTCGCCCCGAAAACCATAAGTTTTTAAGGATTCTGTAATTTGATTTTTTATCGATTGTTAAAAGTACTTACTCCATTAAAAATTAAATAATCATAATAAACATTGTACATAAGTGTGAATGCATAAAAACCTAAATCTGTAAAACTGGAGATCTTTGAAGTAGTCGAAGGAAGTGCCATACGTAATGCATTTTCCATTGAAATGCCATGTCCATCGTCTTTTACTTCAATGCTCGTTACACCATTGTCCACCTTAACAAATGAACATTCCAAACAAAAATTACGCAGATGAAAATATTTTGAACGCGTTCATACAAATAAAATAACCAGAGCAAAACTCGTAAAGTACGCATCAAGTACTTACAAGACTGATTTCTATACATTTTGCACCAGCATCGAGAGCATTTTCAAACAGCTCTTTAACAACTGCATACACAGAAGTTACAATTTGAGTAGTTGTCAGAAGGCTGGCTGTATTTTTATCTAACACCGAAATGGACATTTTTAATGTGACATTCATAAAAGTCACATACTTTGATGAACTCGTTTTCACATCCTGTAAAAACCAACAATCTTATCCCGAACGTGACAGTTCGCAATAAATCCCGAATGTGACAGTTCGCAATAAATCAAAATTACATGACCTTACAAAAGCAAGAATTGTCAGAAATTGGTGGGGCCTGAATTTAAATTAACAAAACATGTCTACCGATTACCCAAATTCCCGCCTATTGCTATTTCTGCTATTTCATAACGGGGACAAAATTGAACGTAGAAAAAACAGAAAGCCAGATAGAATAAAACTACTTTTTAGGCGCTACTGCTACAGTAGCTTCATTTTTAATAAATATACTCATTTGTTTACGTTTCTTAATTTTATTAGTTTCTCTATTAATTTTTCAGTGAGTGTAATTAATTTGGGCGAATATTATCAATGTATACGATAATGTCTACTGATTTTTGAACGTTAGTCAGGACGCGAACCTAGAATTTTGAGTTGCAATAGTGCCTCGAGGGTGCAGCACAAACTCAATGACGAAAAGTTCTCTCATGAGTCGTTCTCTACTAGCTTCACTAAATTTCAAGATATTTCTTTTGATAAGGCTTGTGATACCGTTAAATTTGATTACATTGATTTGGTTTCTGTTACATCCGGTTACGTCAGCCTTTTATGGTTATCCCGCCGATTGTTTATTCAATTTGTTCATCATTCTACGTCGGACAATACACACAAGGTAGTAACGAATAGAATTGAGTACTGAAGTTGGAAGCTATTAGTTCTTTTACATTTACAGAACATGAGCAAGACGCCGATAATGATTCTGCAAGAGGTAATGACAAAGAGAAATGTATTACCGGTTTACGATGTCATCAGTGAAACTTCTGGAACACATGTTAACTCGTTTACGATAAGAGTAAAATGCGAGCAATTGTCTGCCGAAGGAACTGCCACGAATAAAAAGGAAGCTAAGCAAAAAGCTGCCAAAGAAATGTTGGATTTACTAGACAAAGCTGGCAAGTTGGATTCTTCTTTTCTTCCTTCAGTGAAGAGCGATGCCGTTCACTCTGCAAACGTCACTTCTACATCGTTCGTGTTGGATGGTAACACTGTCAACCATGTTGGTAAATTACAAGTACGTCATCAAACATTCTTTGTTAAAATCTTTTCAGGGTGAAATTACTAAATTATGCTTTTTATATCCTCATTTCAGTTTGCTTAATGTTTTTATAAAAAGAGCTCAATTCTAGCTACAATTAAATGTACATATATTTATTTATTCATTTATTTCAAATCAGTATTATAATAAACAAGAGTTATTTCAAGGCATCTTTTTTTATTACATAAGTGATTCTGTTTTTACAGGAATACTGCTCAGTACGAAAAATGCCTAATCCTGTCTATGATGTCAAGAACATAATAGGACAGTCTCATGATGCACAATTTACCATGTCTTGTAAGGTATCAAAAGTTGAAGAAGAAGGTTCAGGCAGAACAAAGAAAATTGCTAAACATAATGCAGCAAAGAAAGTAATCGAAACCCTAGCTCGTACCGACAGCACATTAAGATTTGATTCCCCTAAAAAGAGTGAAAAGGGGCTAAAGCGTGATCTTGAAGGTATTGGCATGGCCATTAAGAATCTGACACTTTATGAATCTAAACACTCCACGAATGCTTCCGCTGGGATGGCAATGGACCGTTATCCAGAACTCTCAAAATTACCAATTCTGGTAAAGAAAAGAGTACATGCAGTAAAAGATTATCATAAAGTATTGAAAGATACCATTGAGGTGAACAATTATAATAAACTGATTAAGTGTTTGGATTATCACCTTAAAAGCACACCTAAAATGAATTGGCAAGACGTTTTGGGTGAAATTTCCACATACTTAAACACAAAGTTCAAACTAGAAAACGTTTTTATTTCACCTACCTCGAAAATGCAAGTTGCCTGTATACAAATAGATACAAATCCAAAAATAACCGAGTTCGCTTCTGGTCCTACGTCCACACAGGCAGAAATGTGGGCCTTCGTTAAGATTATGATAACATTAAGAATTCTATTGTGATAAAACGTGTGTTTTCGTGCATATGAGCTGAAATATTGGAAATTCTTCTTCCAGATAATCAAGAAGCATCGGCGAAGTTAATGAAAACAACTTGATTAAAAACATGTCCGTGAATGCATTTACAAAATGAACGATACTTATCAATTTGTCCGTCATATTTCTGCACTTGTAAGATGTTAGAAACAAAATATGTGATGTTTTAATCAGTTAGTTGAACACTATAATGAAAAGTTGTGATTTAACAACACGAAAGTGTATAATAATCCTTAATCAATTTATTTAGACATTAGTAGATGTCCAGATATATGTTACGATGAAGTTCAATTCTTTACATTTATCATTATTCTGTTTTATACAAGATAAATAGAAGCATATTACACATTGTTTAGAGAATATTAATTATTTTAACATACATGTGAGCATATCATAGTAGGGAAACTGTTAGAAGGCGAAACAAGTACGAGTGAGACGTACTAATTACATGGTACTTTTTTCTCCGCAATCGTTACTAAGTCGTGAGAATGAAGCCTTACGGGAAAATCTATAAAAAGTGTCTCGTGCACGCTGCAATAACACCATGTAAGAGCATAACAGTAATTGAGCGTACGTTTCCCAAGTTTTGTGCGAAGAAAGGCTGCAGAGTTGCTCGCCAAGTAACGTCGTACGTACCCGTTGCGTGCACATGTAATTATTAATGCTATAATTAATACAACCCACGCGTACTATTATTGTACGACCCACCTTCCTGTTCGAGCGGCGTCTATTGTCTCAAGCCGAAAGTGCATTAGAGCTGCAACAAACCGGATTATTACAAATAAGGTAGAGTTTGACCACGTTAAACCATTTTACGGTCTATTACCAAGAAAGGCAGCTCGTAGAAAATAATCGTTTCCCTCGAAATAAATTTTACAGGTCGTCGCTGCGCTCCGCCGAGTTTCTAGATTCGATCGTCTTCCATTGTTCGTTATCGAGATCGAGCGGTTTATTCTAATAAAAAAAGGACTTCGCTCCCACCAGTGATTTTCTTTCCATCCAACGCGTCTCTACCGCAAGATTAACATTCTTCCTGGAAGTAGGAAAAGTTTCGAGCCGAACTTCCCGGAGCATTGTCAACCCTTAATAGGAACTAAGGAACGGAGGTTACAAAACGGAGAAACTCCGAAGAACGTGAAAGGCATTATGGAGCGTGCGTACGCTCGCGGGTAAGTAAGACAAAGCGATAATTGTACAATGTGCCTCTCGGAATTGCGTAAGTAGGACAATGTTCTCATCCATTGTTTTTCTCAGCTGGGAAAGCCGTCGGGGCCAATTAACGCACTCGTCCGGATTTCCAATCGCTGCGGGCGAAAATCGACACCGCCTGGAACAATCCAAAGAGGTCCTGTAAAAAAAACCCATTTCTTCCCCAAATAATTCCCGGCCCTCCCGAACATCCCACTCCGCTTCTACATCCTGGGAGAGATTTCGAAAAGTCCGAGCCTCCGGAAGGATTAGCGTCACGATTGAATTAAACTCGACAATAACGACGGAAGTTCATTATGATGCAGCCATGACGCCGGGTCCTTCGTTAATTTGTCCCCTGAATGGGATTTTGTAAAAGCCCCTCCTCTGCTTCCGGTCTCCCACAGGCGTAACTGTGCAATGCTACCAGCCGGAAGGGCTTGCAGGTACCTTTTCGAGATCGTGGTTTGGTCGTTTATTGCCATACTTCGCATTTTATTGTCATACTTTGCCATTTATTGCCATGCTTAGTATTTTATTGCCAAGCTTTGCAACGTGTTCCGCCGGGATGCATGCGCGCGCACGGTGATAGGTGCGCGCGCTACGACGTCCCGCTCGCGAGTGCGCCCCTCGCTAGCCGCGTCGCGCGCACATGTGCATGGCGGCGCGCGGTCACGTGCCACGTACGCTGGGCGGCGCGCATGCGCGAGCACTGTCGTACGCGGCCGCCACTACCGCACGGGTTCATTGATAGTTTTTCCCTTTAGCCGAGACCCATTCACGCGACGCGGCCACTCAATTCAGAGCCGAGCCGAGGCCACTACCACACGGACCTGGTCAATGGCGCGGCTCCTCGCGATCGATCGACACGTAATCCCGGTACTCGCAAATATCCGAACGGGGGGGAGGAGGGAAAATCTCGCGGGATCGAAGCGCTCCCTGGGACTGACTCCGGAAATAGAAAGTGGTGGGCACGAGGGATCGACATTTGGGACGAGGGTGTTTGCTCGATGGCCGAGGAAAAATTCGGTTGCCTCGCGACGTAACGATTTATCGGAGCGAGACATTCCGAATATAGATTAAACCGACGACCGCATGGCACGGAAGAATTAAGGTGATATTAAAGGGTCATTCCACACCATATAAAGATTTGAATCTTTTCCCCGAACTTGGTGCAGCGATTCATTTGAAACTTCGACAAGTGATTTCGAGGACCCCAAGGATGAACGTGGTGCTCATGAAATTCCATTTTTAATGAAACATTTCTTTTTTATTTATCTCGGACTCGAGCCAAAAATACATATTTTTTTGTACGAAATTTCAGGAGTACCATCTTCTTCCTTATGGCTTTATAAATATTTTCAGGTTTTATGTATATCGAACGACCCTTTCGTATCGCACCTTAACGGCACGGATCACGAGTCGCTACGATTTATCGTCACACGGGTAGTCACCTTAACTCGGACTTCCGACTTTCGATCGCAGATCCCGGGGACGTAATTTATGCATCGACAATCGACGGATCGATAGAAGTGCGCCCGTTATCCGGCTCGTTTCCTCGTGATTAGGCTATGCATAACTGTACGCCGATCTAGTCTAATTAGAGGCGGTTGACGATCGTGGGTCGAGGTCTGGGCGATTGCGATCTGTGGGATTATCGTGGTCACTTCCTGCATTAGGTAGAAACCCGAAATCCCATAAATTAATTCTTTGTATCGACAAGGGACTCCGCTTATTAATTTCGGGCGAGGAAAAATGAGGGGGAGGGGGGCAGAAACGGAAATCCTTCGAGACGCGTTAAGTACATCCGGGTTGCGGGTCATCAAGAAGGCGATTGGAATCTACGGAAGAATTAGTGTACTTAGGCGGTACTTCCTGTCCGGAAATGCCTGCCGATTATCGATCACCCTCGTTATTTAGCTATTTCGGGGTTCTCTAAGCTCTGGGAATTTCTCCGATAGCATTTTTCTGACCGAGAAGATGAGACTCGGTCGCGAAGGGAGAGATCTCGTTCCGGCTCCCCGAGACAGATATATCAATGAGAAAAACGCCGAAGGAGAGGAGATACGGGTATGATAAAAACGAAAGGATTTACCGGAGTCTCAGTTTCCGCTGATAAAACGGCCGAGATTATCGCTCGGGGAGTTCTTGGATCTGGGGACCGGAAACGCTCCCCCTAAATCTTACGAGAGCACTTCCGAACTGACGTAGAATATATGAAATTTAAATTAATCATCCAAAAGTCCGACGAGTCAAACAGAGCGTTATTCAGCGGAAGACGATTTTTCTTTTCTTTTTTTTTCCTTTTTTTTTCAACGTCTCGCTAATCGAAAAAACGCGCCGGCATATGATGCGTCCGACTGCAAAGCGACACGTTTAACGGTGATTTTCAAGCGAAATTCATGTCAAGGACTTGACCGTAGGAACTTGCGTGGGAACGGCAAGTACAGGACGGTGTTTGCTTTTTTCTCTCTCTTTCTCTCCCTCCCTTCCCCGCGTTTATGCCTCTTTTTCTCCATTCCTCTTTCAGCAACATGCGGCGCGGTTGCAACTAATTACGCGCAAGCACTCGTAAAATTGTGCGCGTGTCAATTGAAGCCCTCGACGTGAACTCTGCCAGTCCAGTGCATTTACCCGAATGTCGTAGTCGGGTATTTCGATCAGCTGATCGCGTACCTGGAAAAAAAGGAGAGCTCCGGAGGACCCCATTTAATTTGACTTTTCCTCGTTTCGTCAACGAGGAGTTTGCTTTCCTGGCAAATTTGTCCGTCAAAGATTGAATTCTCCAATAGTGAAAATGAGCAGAAGTCGGGAATTTAGTTCGTATCTCGTAATTAAGACCCTCGTGAACCTCCTAAACGATCGCTCGGCCGCTCTCCCGCTTTGGAGGAAACGTCCCATATCCGGTAAGGACTGCCGGTAATAAAAGCCGGGAATTTCGCGGAACCAGATAAAAGGAAAAGGAAAAAAAAGACCTCGATCACCCTACCGTATCACCCTAAAATGCAGCGAGGGTAATTGCCGCGGTAAACGGCGAATCCAAAGCGGGTCTCGCGTCGAGAGATTCGACGAAACGAAAATTCCCGGAGGCTTCGAGAATCTAAACGTTTCATCGAAACGAGGAAACGGGGGAATTTGCGAAACTCTTTCTTTCATATCTCCCTTTTTCTTCTTCTCCTTCCCGCAACGTGCTCGACCTGTACACGGGTACACACGAGTGCACACTTTGAGCGAACCGAGAGCGAAGAGTCCGGAGAGGAGAGGAAGCGGGCTATTGCGCCATCAGGAAGTGGCTCGCTACTTACACCTACTTACACCGACTTACACCTACTTACACCGACCTGCGGTTACTTACACCGATTTACAGGAGAGCGTGGGGTAGAACCGACGTACGAGTGCGAACCATCGGGACGAAATCTTCAAACGCAATCCTGCCCCGAGAGAGGGACACCCGCGGAACAAAGCTTCGTAATTTAATATTAACAATTCCCATTAGCGCCGTTAATGTTTACAAGCTGTGCTCTGTTTATTCGGGACATACCGGGATTTTGCATTCGACGGCAGCGAACGATAACTCGGGTTGGATGGTCGGGCGTGAAATATCACGCCGGAGGATACCAAGAAGTGTCTTGTCTCGTTGCTCCATTTTTTCTCTGTTTTTTTCTTTTTTTTTTCCTTTAACAATTTCATACGATGCAAGGCTCTTCAGGGTGAATACTTTCCGTCGCAGTCTCCTCCAGGCTTGCAGTACAGGCTGACCCGATTGCAGCGTAAATTCATTAAGCCTCCGCGACCATACGAAATTCCTCATTTGCAAGTCCTAACTGCACCGTATGCAGTCATTCATGTAAATGTTAAGAGCGACGGTGTGTGTCGATTGTAGAATTTTCCCGGCGGTGTCCGGTCCGAGGCAGTCGGCGATGACCGAGGTGATCGAGGTCGTTTTGTCAATTCAAATGAAATGGTAAAAACACCGGGTGCTTCATTCGATACTCGTCATGGCACTCGGTGGCATAAATATGCGCGCCGATGATGCACCTTCCTGTATTTCGCTCGAACTCCTGGACTCCCGGAACGGCCGGGTCACGGGTTCCGAGGGTGTAAAAAATATTTTCTGTTACCTCTCGCCTTTTTAACGTTCCACTTTGTACACCGGCAACTCTCGTGGAAGGCCTCACGCTGTCATCCCTATTTTCGTCAAACCTCCGGTGCCTTTGATTAGCGGATAAGAGCGACGTGGATGGAAAGCCGAAAACCTGGAAAACGTATTTTCAATGCCTACTCTTAATTCCTACTCTCAAGGTGATACAAAAGAGTCATTCTACACATATAAAGCGTCATATCAGATGAAATTTAAAAAAAAAAATTATTTATTCCTCCCAAACTGGAACTATGGGTACAGATTTTTTTTTATTTTTATTTTTTATGAAATCTCATAAAGCATCGCGTTCTTCCTTAGAACCTTCATAACCACGTGACGAAGTTTCAAACGATTCGGTGCACTCAGTTTGGGTATCAGTTTTATATATGTAGAGTGACCCTTTCGTATCACCTTAATTCCTGTACTAAGTGCCCGTTTTAAGCGTTGGCATGCTCTCTCGTCCCAGTCGTGGAAAAAGCAGCGACGAAGACGAGGTCCAGCGCGTCCCGGTGTGCCGTTCCGGGGCCCCGGGCTCGGCGGGCGCGTCCCTGATTGGTCCCCCTCCTGTCATGGCGGCGCCCGTGGCGCGGCGCCACCTCTCATTGGCCGGTCGCACGGCCCTGGGCCGCGAGCCCATTCACAGAACGACCGCCTCGCCGCCGCCGCAGCAGCGTTCCGTTCGCGTAGTCGCTCGCTAGTGTCATGGAGGTAACATGGCCGAGGAGACGCGCCTAGTCCGCGTTGAGGAGAGGCTCAAGATCAAGATCGGTACGCACAGACTAACCCGCGTGGTTTTTTTCCCCACCTAGAGGGTACGAACGTTGCGTCCGCGCCCGTTCGCGACGGGCGAGAGGTTAACCTCTCTGCGTCGAGACGGACCCCCAAGGAACGGCCGAAATCGGGCCGTGGATTCCCACCTTGGGTTTCGACAGGCTCTCTTCGAGGCCCTCCCGGGATTCGAGGATTCCTCTCGGTTTCTGGATTTAGACGGCGACTCGGAGGTAACTCGAGGGAGGACGAGGGGCAGGAGTCGGCCCGGTGACCCCGGGGATCCTCGTGGTCGTAAGAGGGGCTCGCTTATTTGGATGTCGGCCGGGACGCGAAGACGGGCCGTACGTGGGTCGTCGCTTCCTGCCGGGCGGAACGCCGACACTCCCACGCGTCGACCGCCTGCGAGCCCGACCACCCGGGGCCTCAGGAATTGCCTCAGGAATTGTCTCGGGGTCCTCCAGGGCTCCTTCGAGTGCCACTTAATAAGGGGGTCGATAACGTCTCCTTGGATCAAGGATGAAAGCAACGAAGGAAAATCCTTAAGGAGTAATATGGGATCGACTCCACAGTGGTGCATCCAGGGTGGAAGGTGAATCGGTGTCCGTGCCGTTAGTCTTCGAGGGAGCTTATAGGATGTCGTGAGATCGGAGACTTGGATTAGTTTTATTACTGTGGGATAGGCATCGTTTACCTATTTTAAAGGAATGGTACAGTGCTCGGATACCATTCGGAAGAGACGTCGATGGAAAGAAGCGAAATTGACCTTCGAAGGAACTCCTCGAGAAGGCGATCTTGGAGACGAAGGAGGAGGTCGACGAGATCAGGGAGTTTAATTTCTTATCTTGTAGTGGGATAGAAGTGGTTCATTTCGAGTCATTCGTCGCAAGAATTCCCATGAGTTCGGTTTGGTTCGTTCGTTCTTGAGAAATGTACGGCTTGATCGGACTTTCCACGATTACTTTTAGACTCTCTGATTTGGATTACCAGAACGATGGTATTGTAGACCCGGGGTAGGAAAAGTCAAGTTTTTTGGACGGTCAGCTTCAATGTGTACTCCTCGAGAAAGAGGCCCTTTACCAGGAGGGATGTTTAAATTATGTTTCGACAGACCCAGGTACAATTGGCAATCGGGAAGGCGCCGAAAGATCACCGATCTAGTGTCAAAGCAATATCTGTTCCTGAGACCCTCTCACGTGGATTAGATCTACGAGAAACGGTTGTTGAAATTTCCCGCGTTTCCGCGTAATGTCACGTGGTACAATTCGCCCGAGATAAAGAAACCTGGCGTTTATTCGTTCGCAATTCTCGGACGGTACTCCTCGAGATTCGTGTATCCGAATCGGGAGCATTTATCGACCGAGGTATTTACACGATCGAACGAAACGGTTTATCGCGTTCCCGTCTGCCGTTTGGAAAAAATATCAAGATGGCGTTACGGCCTGTCACGTGGTACAGCACTCAAGCCCGTATAAAGTTTCCCTTCTTCCCCGGACGATTGTTTCTATAAATATGCAGTCCTCGGTCGAAGCTTCGAAGATCACCTCGTTTTTCAGGAAACTTTGATTTCTCGCCCCGATTCCTCGACGGGACTCCGTCGGGCAAACGGCGAGTTCGTATTTGCTGACGAAGGAGTCTTTCCAAAGAGGGTCACGTTACGGTTCGCAAAATCGACGCGTCGTGAAATCATGAAGATCGATACGTCGTGAAATCATGGAGATCGATACATCGTGAAATCGCGGAGATCGAAGCGTAATGAAATCGCATTCAATCGACGCGTCATGAAATTGCGAAAATCAAGCTTAAAACCAGTCTTGGTTTCGTCCCTCGCGTTAGCGTCTCGTATTAATTAGCCGGTGGAAAACGTGCCATCCTTTCGCACAATGGAAAATGATTTTCACGAAACCAGAGAGGAAACCTAGATCTAGGCCCGTGTATCCAAACGGAGGATCTAGGTTTCGGAGCGTGGAATCGAGTGCAATTGCGCAGTTAGCAATTTCTCTAATTATAATTAATCCATTCCGGACGTTAGAGCGGATTTCTGGATTTGGCTGAGGTTGGCAGGAGGTGTGCGATTAAGGGCCTCGGATAAAAGCCGTTCGATGGTCATTAGTCCTAATGATTAGGCCTGGCGACGATTAGTTTTCGCCAGGGAGGCGTTCGGAATTGATCGGCGATCATGTAAACAAAGCACCGATCGTTATCGGGGATCGATGACTCACCGCGATTCGGTTTCATTCAGGTCGTTTAATTGACGCGAAGGCTCCTTTAACGAGGCGACAAAACCGGCGGAATGAGCAGGGTCTTTGTCGATTATTTACATGAATTACGTCGGAGGGCTATTGTTAGAGAATTTTCGATTTTTCATCGGGCTACCCACTTGCCGATTAATACACCGTCGAATGATTTTTTTTCCTTCTTCTTCTCCTTTTTCTTTTTTCCTGCAAGGACGACGAGGGGAAACTTCTCCTGCTCGTGTGGAAATTGCCGGGGCTCACTTTATTGGCGTTTTCCGCGTAGAAAATTGGACGCTTCGTTCGAAGAAGTAAAAAGAACGGTTACGCGAGTAGGTCAATTCAATCCGAGAATGTGTCGTTAATGATTCGTTTTTGTTTTTTTCTTCCAGGGGAGGCCAAAAATCTTCAGAGTCGAAGTCATGGATCGCCCGGTGCGAGGGACGTTTATTGTGCGCTCTCCCTCGACCAGGAGGAAATATTCCGCACCACCACGATGGAAAGAACTCTTAAGTAAGCGCCAAACGATCTATTACTTCCCCACCGCACGTAGAATAAGTATTCCCGAGCATGACGAGAGGTTTGACTTCAACAAATGTGGGAACGAAAATGGGCCAGCGAGATTTTCCTTCAGGCACGTTTTTGTTATCTTGACCTCCCTCCAAAAAAAAACTAATTACCTCACGGCAACAAGAATTCTAATAATTGCAATATTATTTCCTGGCGACGACAAATTGTATATCGCTCGTACTTGCAATAACGAGAATATTTTATTAGCCGTTGCTATACATCCATTAGCTAATTTGGCAAGGAGATTTTTTAATGGATCGAAAGAGTAGTCATTTCTACGTTCGATACGATTGGAAACACTTTTGCTATCGGTGGGATTATTCCTACAGTAAGAGCGAAACTTTATCAGCAATGCTGTCCTTTGCTGAAAGCGCAAATGCTTTTTTTTTTTCTTTTTTTTTTCCCCCCGGTAAGTGTATGGAACTAATGTTTACTCGTTAAACTCGTTGCAGTCCATTCTTCGGGGAGGAGTTTCAGTTCGAGGTGCCCAGGAAGTTCCGGTACCTCGGGATCTACGTCTACGACCGGGATCGGCACCTGAAGCAGGACAAGATATTGGGGAAGGTCGCGATAAAGAGGGAAGATCTCGCGACCTACCACAACAAGGAGCACTGGTTTCCTCTGCGACCGGTCGATGCCGACTCCGAGGTGCAGGGCAAGGCTCACCTGGAGCTCGCCCTGCAGCCCCAAGTCGGTCATGCTCAACCTAAATTGACCGTAAGGTGAGGGAATCGGGTGGAGGCGGTTATCAGACCGTCGGTGTCGTAACTTTTTCCCTATCGGCGATAACGAGGGAGAGACCGCAAGCTCGAGGTCTAATCGGGGCTCCGCTACATCCCATGGGAACATTTTTTTTTTCTTCGATTCTTTAGCCGATTTGCAAGGTCCTTACCGATATCGCCCCAGCTTATCGATCTCCTTATCGATTAAGGCTATTGATTAACGGAAAAGTAGATCAATAGTGAGCGAAGGCAAGGCCTTGTGACCTATCGCACGGCAATCGTACCCAAGAAATTTAGGACCCGTAGACGACGAGCTTCTTTGTCAACCTGAAATTCGTCAAGCTAGTAAAGGAGAAAAATATCTCTCGGTCGGGTTGCCGATTAGCAAGGATTAGGGAAAGTGGATCAATGCATTTTAGCGCCAGACGGCTAATTGACTTTGCGTCTTCGTCGTCGTCGACAATTTCCTTGGCCTTGGGTGCAATAATGGCATCCTGTTTGGTGGCGTGTCGCGCCTAGGAAAGCCAACAATCGCAGGAAGGAAACTCTCGTAATCAATTTCTTATGCGGATGAATAATCCATGCACGCGACGGGCGCGATAGAATTATTTTCATGAATCACAAGGGCTTTCCATTAGCCTTGTTTCTGCCAGGAAAGAGGATGCCAACTTATCCGGGCGATGATTCTTCCGGAAATCTTAGTCAAGTGTAGGTTAACATTTTTCTTTTATTTTTTTAATGACAATTATACGACGCTTTATAGGCCTGTTGCCGAATATCGTTTGTCAGAGGCGCTTTTAACGAACTCTTTCTAAGCATCGCGTAAACGCTATCTGTTTTTATCGGGAGATCTGTTTATCCGAAGTAAGCAATTGCAGATACTCCAAGTGCCGAGATTTTTATCCGGCAAATCATTTGTCCCCTGAGAAAAAAAAAATAGATAACGGAGGAGAAGTATTAATGGTATCATTGACAAAATGCGATCTCCTGATAGAGGCGATATCTCTGCTGGTTAATGAATGAAATTCATGCACCGAAACGGGAGTGCTGCTTTTGGATCGTATCGTTTAATTTTGCTCTTACTACATTTTTATTCGTAGTATCTGATTACGGTACGTTAATATTTTTCTTCGTTCTTTTTTCAGGGTCATAGAATGTAGTGAATTAACCATTAAGAACGGTGGCTGTGATCCCTTTGCGACTGTGACCGTCATCTATAGTAATGGGAAACAAATATCGAAGCGCACAAAGGTCAAGAAGAAGACGGTGTCTCCGTACTTTAACGAGACGTTCGTGTTCGAGGTGAATTGATTTTGTCACCTGGCTTCGGTTTCATTAATCCGTTAATTTCATTAATAATTCATTAATAGTGTACCGTGGACCATTTTAAACATTGTCTTCTATCCTTTTAACGCAGCCCGAGCTGACGGAGGCCAAGGACAAAGACGTAACTCACTATTCCATCGACGGTGGGGAAATTGGTGAGGTGGTCGTTGGTCTTTGGCATGCTTCTCCGGGAATGGGGGAACATCCTGCATTCCTCGGCGAGGTTCGCGTTACCCTCAGGGGACTGCAGAAGCAACCGACCAGCACCACGACGGCATGGTAATTGTCATTATCTTATTTGTTCACTATGTACAGAGCGATGAACGTCCTTCGCGGGAACGGTTCAGGCTAGCCACTTAACAGATTAATCGTTTCAGGTATTTTTTACAACCCAGAGCTCCGAAGCACCGGCCCAGCAAGATTTCCAACAATTCGACACCTCCAGGAACACTGCCAGGTCTGGGTTCGCTACGCCTCAAGATACATTATACAGCTGACAATGTTTTCCCTTCGGAGATGTATGACAGGCTGCGCAGTCTGTTGCTGCAAAGCGTTAACATTCAGCCGATAACGTCGTCGGCCGTTTATATTTTGGGGGAGATTGTCGCCAGCAAGATGGAGGCTGCGCAGCCTCTGGTCAGAGTGCTGGTCCATCATGGACAACTGGTATCCGTAATGAGAGCTTTGGCCAGTCACGAAATTTCAAAGCTTACGTAAGTTATACTATGCGTTTATTTCATCGGGGCTCGGTCGCGTTGCGTCACGGATCGGTTATTAAGTCTTGTTTCGCAGGGATCCTACGACAATCTTTCGGGGCAACACGCTAGTGAGTAAAATGATGGACGAGGGCATGCGATTGGCGGGTCTTCACTACTTGCACAGTACCCTGCGACCTGCCATGGAGCAAGTCTTTCTGGACAAAAAGCCCTGCGAGATCGACCCAACTAGGGTGAAAGATGCGAACACGATTCAGACTAACTTGACGAACCTGAAAGTAGGCTTTTCTAGGGATTTTTTTCTTTTTACGCAGAAAGTGACAGAGATACTTAACGATTGATCATTTGTTGTTTGCTTCCTGCCTTCTAGGAGTACGTCGAAAGAGTATTTACAGCAATAACCACGTCAGGTGTGAGATGTCCTCCGTTGATGTGTGAGATGTTCTGGTGCCTGCGAGAACTCGCTGCGACACACTTCCCAAAAAATAAGGAGGTTCGATACTCCGTCATCAGTGGGTTCATATTTCTACGGTTCTTTGCACCAGCAATACTCGGTCCAAGACTGTTTGACATTACCACCGAACAAATAGTGAGTTTACGTTTGAGGTTAAGTATAAAATGACGTCATACCGTCTTTTACGACTGACGTTTCTATAAAAGTAACGTCGATTAATTATATTATACGTCGAAATCTTTTTAGGACTCTCAGACGAACAGGACTTTAACGTTAATTTCAAAGACAATCCAAAGTTTAGGGAATCTGGTGAGTTGTCGAGGAGGTGCCGGTAGTGTTTGCAAAGAGGAGTACATGGAGTGTGTATATAGGTGATCATTAAATTTTTCCGAATCGAGAGAGGTCGTGAGAATTTCTTGAAATATTAAAGGTCGATTTTCTTCTCTCCTGTTGCAGAGAATTTTATACCGAAAGGCACATTCAAGCGGTGAAGCAGTTCTTGGAACTTGTATCGACTAGCAGTGGTAGCGGGACTACGAAGCAACGTCCAACTACTTTGCAAGAACAACCGGTAGTGCTTAAGGAAGGGTAAGCAATTGTTCTAAGTAGAAATAAAATTTACATCGAACTAATCATATTAACAATAATTTTTGTGTTTCGTATCTCCTGAAATATAACCCATCTAATGAGAATAATTTATAGAAGTACTCATCGTACACTCCAAATTTTTTTAAAATAAAAGACACATTTGCTCCGCTAATAAACAGTCTTTTTCTAATAGAACATATTTTCTCTTTGCGCTCACTGGTGATCGAAGCAAGAGGTTGGTACTGTCCGGAACATGCAGTTATCAGTGTCCAACTATCAATTCCAGCTACAACAAGGCGCCTCATTGACCGAGAAAATTTCTTCTTACAGAGTTATGATAAAAAGAGCACAGGGTCGGAAAAGATTCGGGCGGAAGAACTTCAAACAGAGATACTTCAGACTGACTACGCAAGACCTAACGTACTCGAAAACCAAAGGTGCGTGTCGATTACAACTTAAATGAATTTTCCATGGTACTTTATAAGATGAGATACATCCAGTAATCTCTTTTTTTAGGGAAGGAACCCTTGTGCAAGATTCCGCTCGAGGAGATCTTGGCTGTGGAAAGGTTACACGAGGACTCGTTCAAGATGAAGAACATGTTCCAAATCGTGCAGCCGCAGAGAGCGTTATACGTGCAGGCCAGCAACTGCGTGGAGGAGAAAGAGTGGATCGACATCCTGACGAAGATCTGCCACACGAATTGCAACCGATTAGCAAAGTATCATCCAAGTGCCTACATAAACGGACACTGGCTGTGGTAAGCGAGCTACTTATCTTCCACCCGATTAAAGTTACATCTTGCACTTAAATAATATCGTACATTGACGGTTCAAGCTGTCGAGCGGGGGCCGAAGTCGCACCAGGGTGCAGCGAGGTCTCGCCAGGAATAGAGGCGGGTCTAAGGATGGTCCTGGACCCAGACCGAGACTTACAGAGGATCCACTCGCTGATCTTCACGAACATGTCGCGGCTGGAAACCCTGATGAGCGCGTGCGAGTGCCAGGCGGTTTATGGTGCCAGCGAGATGTGCGTTCTGCCAAGTGGAGGCTCCCCGATCGAGGACGTTCCCTCTTGCTTCAAGACCTTAAACGCCCTGAGGGAGGCCGCGTTCGCGTTGCAGCACGAGCACAGAGCCTACTTCAGGAGGCTGGCTCGCGATACCAAATACGGCAGCAAGTGAGTTCCTCGTAGCGGAATATGTCTTTTCATAGTACTTTCCTAGGATCGTTGGTGACCGATATCCGCATTACAGGCAGGCGCCCATCGGCGACGACAACTACCTCCACCTAGCAGCCCGGGCGGGCTTCGAGGGTCATCCTAAACTGGCACACGAGTCTGAGAACCTGGGCCAACGTCGGGTAGTCTCGGACACCGGGAACTGCTACGACGGAGGCGTCGTCTCGAGGCGGATCGAGGATCGCGGTTACGAGGACCACTCGCTCCGCAAGTGCCTCGACCCGGACTCGATAAGCCGGAGGTACGAGAACGAGTCGTCGAGCCTGGTCAGGAGGTACGAGAGCAACGCCGAGACCCTAAGGAGCATTCAGAGCGACCTGAGGAGGTTCGACCGCAGCCTGAACAATACCCTGAGGTCGGAGAGGTCCGAGAGGAACGGCAACGAGAACCTGGAGAACCACAGGAGGCTCGAGGGCTGCGGGTCGCTCGCCTCGGAGGGCCTGTGCGCGACCCTCTCGAGGAAGCTGAGCGACTACGAGGACAGTGGGAAACTCGACGAGGGTACCCTCACCAGGAGGATCAGGGACGATGCCTCGGACATCTCCTCGAACTCGCTAACCGGCCGTGCCAACCACTGAGATTAGTTTCTTCTCGGGCTGGAGCTCGAAGGACTCTCAGGGTCCTCCTTCGGGGCGGGAGGACGCTCGGGGGCGAACTCTTTAAAATCGGAACTCGACGACCGTTGACGGAGAAAAGGAATTCCGTGAGATTAGAAGAAACTCCCGGAGGCCTTCTCCCGCCTCTGCAGCCGATGTCGCTCCGAGCGACCGGAGGACGGCCGTACTTTCGAGCTCCTCTTCTAACGTTACGCGGTATTTAGAGGGAAGGAAAGGAAAAGAACTTTGTACGTAACGAGTTTCGTTAGATCCTAAGTATATGGGAAAGCGAGTGGTCTCTTGTCGGGTCGCTTTCCCTTCCCATGGATCCGGGGATCGCCCCACGGTCTGAGATTAGGGGTCGACCGGGCGCGGATATCCATCGAGAGATCGGCGTAGCTCGGAAGTGTATCACATACACTTTCGACGTGTCCGACCGCAAAACGGAGCGAGGAACGCTCTCGGAATGGAAATCTCTATCTTTATTTATTTATTTATTTTTTTAATCGACTTTGAGGGCGCGCAACACCGACCATTCCGAAGGAGTCGCGTCGTTGTAACCGCACCGGACTGCAATCTCGTTTATCCTCAAAACCTGTGCTCTGTACAAAAGTCTACGACGTGTCTTGAGAAATCGTCGCGATCTTTTACGCGAGGTGTCTTGCTATAACACAGCGTTCGCAACGTTTTCGTCCCTTACGGGTAATTATCCATTTTAACTAGCGCTTGCGACGACGCCCATAGAACTCGGTGTAATCTTAGCTAACACCCTGCCTTTAGTTATCTCTCGAGGTTGTCCCGATTTTATCTTCGCTTAGCTCGTAAAATGCCTGCCTCTTCGTTCCTCCATCCGCGAACGGTGGCGCTGAGTTCGCCCAACGTCCAGGGAGGTGTTATCAGTGCCGAATTAATATCGACACGACCTGTAGGAAATGTATATTTTTTAACGGGGTCAAAAGGTTAGATATCTTCGAAATTTAACGTAGATGCCCTTGGACGCGGAATATCTCCATACGTTTATATCATTTCACCGAATCAATGGAAACGATCGGCGACTCTTCCAATCGCGTCGCTTTGACATTGCTCAATGGGGGGGAAAAAAAGAATTAAAAAGAAGCCCAAGTTACGCAGGCTTGTTCTTCAATCTCGATATAATGCTCATTAGAGGGAATGTTAAAATCTAGGGGGCTCGCGAAGCGTCATCGAGAAACGTATTAGGTCACTTTGTCTTCCTCGATTCTACCGCTAGTTCCTTATTTGTCGTGTAGCGATTTTGGAATTAACGCGGGAGCCCGTTTATTAATAAATTAATTAACTAGGGATTAACGGAAGTCAAGGGGGGTAGCGGTGCCGTTCGTCGCGAGGATTTCTATAAACCTTAAACCGGCCGAGGGTATTTAATCGATAGCCGTCTCTTAAACGGACACGATGAACTTTTTATATTCTCTCACTTTCGAGTTAAGCCGCGTTAAGGGGGTGCGAAAGTGGCGTAACGTAAAAGTCTCCTTTATTAAGCTTTTCTCCGTACTGGACGTACCGATTCGTCGGAAACTTTACAACGTGATTACAAAGGCTACAACAAAGGTCCCGACGCCCTGACTGATTTTAAATTTGTACAAAATTTGTTTATAGGTACCTTGAAATTTTTTTATAAAAGAAAAAATTAAATGCCACGGGCCTCAGGACCTTCCTCATAGCCCTTTCGTAATCACGTTGTAAAGTTTCAGACGATTCGATTCGCTCGGTTTGGAAAAAAAAAAAAGTCCCATGAACGATTGACCCCTCGGATGTCATTTTTAAATGCCCTTGACGTGAAAATGAAAAAAAAAAAAAGACAAAGGAAAAGCACAGGTGACCGCGCACAAGCACTACCCTTTCAACGGAACAATTACAACCGTAAGGCGTATAATGGCTAAAAGATAAATAGACTCGTTCCTTCGACGATGGCACGGCATAGGGTGAAATGATTAAAATTATCCACGTGATCCCTCCAATCTAGGAAAGAGGTAGCAGGTGTCTGACGCTATCGTCGATTACACATTGTACAGTATAATCATTACGCTCGTTCGATTAACGGAAGATTGAGAGATTGATACGCGAGAATAGTTATCGCGAAGGGAGGTTTTAGCTCGTCCGATAACCGTTGTACAGTGTACATAGAGAGATAAGGAGGCAGAGAGAGAGATCGTTTCGTTTCCACGTTGCGGACCGTAATTACGTCTTAACGAACGTCTTCGATTACCCGCTAGGATTAAGGATTAAATGTATAAGGATTTTATGAATTTTAAGGAGCCAACACCATACCTAAAACACGAGCTGATCGATCACCGAGCCGCGACTAGTCGATAGGACAGAACTGATATATCGGCGCTCGCGGTTTTGTGACGGACTTTTAACATATCCGCGTAAAGGCCTTCGCGTCTCCAGGGAAGTCCCAGGGATATGTTTTCGCTGGCCAATTAATAAGTAAGGGGAGTACCAGTTGCTCGTTCCTTATCGGTGCTCGAGGCGATTACGAAGTCGCCCTCGTGGATCGCGAACTCGGGAGAGCCGTGGCCAACTTGAATCTCTACAAACGGAGTGTCGGATTTGTCTTCATTTAACCGACTAACGATCGACGACTAGTCATAAGATTGATCGATGTAAATAATTATATTATCGCCGAAAAAAAAAAAAGAAGCGTGGACCTGGACCTTCCTCTCGACGAAACATTAAGTTGGCCATGTAGCTCCGTCTATCTTTCTCTTTTTTTTTTCTCTCTTTTTTTATTTCTTAAACGCATACGTACTATTTTTGGCCAGCACGGTATCAAAAGCGTTAACGCGAAGTGCGTCGTCAAGGATATCGTTAACGTCGAGATGCTGTCATTAACAGCTGATGCGCCGCTTACATCAGAGCAACGTCACCGGTATACATTGCGAGGCGTTGCCGCGGTACTCGAATTAATGAATTAATCCCGAGACGAGGGATCCTAGTGCAATTTAACCCGGGGGCATGCCCTTCGTAATATCCCCGTTCGGGGGATCTCTTCTTTTTATATGCGGATTTTCTGCAATTTCTCTCTTCCAGACCTGGTGTGCGAGTGTTCGCTATCCCAGGAGACCGCGACCTCTCCTACGTGGGTTCGAGCACGTTAACCAGATGTTAAGGAGTAACTCACCGTTGTTGAACTTAATCGAGATTAATGATCGCTCGTGGCGAGGACCCTTGTAACAAATCGCTCCAAGGTTTTACCGATTAATCGCGAAGTCGCTTCCGTAATCACCCGGCGAGTGGTCGATCGCCCTTACTCCGTTAATTAATTCATCCAATCGGGCCTCTCGCCGTTTTAGACGATAATTTTAGTATACGTGACGCGTCACGTATGTCTCACTTGAATTCCCGAAAGTTTCTCCTTTCTTTTTAATTTTCTACGATCCAAGACTTCTACCCTTGGTTGGTAGTATCGTAGACCTTGTACTTGTTTTATCGTTTTTTTTTTTTTAACACGATCGACAGAACCTGGGTACACGGACACGTATCCAGCCTTGTCCACGAGGGTATACGAAAGTTAGGAAGTTACAGTTAAAGTTAACCAGCGATTAAAGATAACCCGCCGTTAAAGTTAACCTGCAGTTAAACTTAACCTGCGGTTATTAATCGAGAATGACATAAGATCGCGATACATCGTTGGAGCGATTTATTCGTCGAGATATCTATAGCGAAATTTGTTAACGTTTTATGTTATAACTATGGCAAAAAGGGGGAAAGAGAAGAAATTGAGAACAGTAGTTGCGAGAGGGCTCGTCACGGTCCTACTCGATGCGGAACCCCCCGACACTGTTGAACGATAATGTCTACCGATTGTTACGGGAATGTTTATTAATAATGGTGCGAGTTTTTGCACGAAGGAACGCCATAAAGGGCTCCGGGGGGGTTGCTGCGTTAAGTGCCGAGTCATTGGTTCACCTGGAAACTCAATATCCGTGGACGCGACGAAACGATTTTGATAATTAGCTTTAACGTTTAGGATAATAAAATCGATAATCATCTGCGGCCCTTAACGCGGCAGCCCGGACACGTTCCTCGGTGTGGCGGATTTTAATCTCTCCCCGTAGGATAACGACGGAATCCTCTCTATACGACCTTAATTAAACTTTATCAGCCAATTCGGGCTCGAGCGAACAATCATATTCCGACCCTTTGTTTAAGTACAGAGAGAGAGACTCGATGCGTACAACAATGTATAACTATTCGCAGGCTCAGCGCGGCCGTGTAATAAGGTAACTCTACTTATGAACGGTATTATTTATATTAGCTCGTATCTCTCGTATTAATAATTTAATAACTTCTTCTTCCTCTTCTTTCTTTCTTCGTTTTTTTTTTTTTGTATACCCTTTTGTTGTGTTCACCGAAGTAACTATTGTTATTCTTGTAGAGATCCTTAGGATAGATCGTGCCTTAAGAAATAAAAACAAATAAAAGATATAAAGAAAGAAACGCGTCGAGGACTCGTAGGAGCCGGGAGGGGATTCGCGAGTTATTTATATTAAAAATTAAGGGAAGAATGAGAAAAAAAAAATAAGAGCGCGCTCTGCGACGTACACTCCTCCGTGTATTTTAATACTGTACATATGAATATTTTCCGCAATAAACCATTTGTCCTTCGACGATCTGTCTCTTCTCGGTGTCATCGTACCCGCCGGAGATACGCTCGGCTTTTATATAAATCTACGGCCTACTTCTTAAAGTAGAGTCACTTAAGTACACAAGAGAAGACTCGGACGTATAAATAATTATTGTATTCCGTGGGCAAGATGCAAGGCACGTATATATATATATATATTGCGGATGGTCGGAGGTAATAACCTAATATATACATATATCTTGTCCGATCTCTCGCGCATTAATTTACGGCAGTGAGGCGACGCGGCGCATCGTCCCTCGCCTAAGCATTAATTTATTAAAGGTATCGTATAAAATATTGCAATCGCGAGTCTGACAAAACTCAACCGCTAATCCGTTTACGCAATGTTGTCTATGTACAATTTTCATTCCTAGCGATAATTAACTCTCCAAGGCGAAAATTTAGCGACCGCCAATCGTCTTCCTCTCACCCCGTCGAATGTGCACAACCAAATTCTCACTCTCCAATTAAGCGTTTAAATTAATCCTCATTCTCCCCGGTTTCCGCTTAATCAACGCTAAAGGCACTATCTACTTATTACGTATGAGTCAACTGTACGGGTTGAGTGATCGTTAACATTAAAAATGGGGGGGAAAAAAAAAAAGAGGAGCAGAAGGAAAGTAAACTAGTGAAAAAGTGTCAGGAGGGAAACAATACTGTTAAGCGTGTCGACCAGAGGGTCTTTGATTCTACACCTGCCAAGGTCCGCGTTATTCGAACCGTGAGTGTAAAGTGAAATTAAAAGTACGAGAGGGAGAGAGAGAAAAAAAAAACAGAAATAAATCGGAGAAACTTTATCCTGAGATCGACTGAGTAATCGAGCATGCCGTTCGCGCATGCTTCTTTTCTTTTTTTTTTTTTGTATATATGTACTTGGCGCGAAACTCTACCGAGTTTCATGATCGGGCACGAGCTGCAAAGGGGGTATCGAAAATCTTCAGGTCACGCGACTTCCCCGGAGGAACTGTACTTACGATTAATTAGTCGGACGCGATTTCGAGGGTTCAGTCTGTTCGTTATAACCGAAAGCTTTACCTAGGGGTAAGCGCGAGTTTAAAGGCGACTAAGAGATTACGTAGCCCACTTCTACGTTACTAAGGTTTAAACTCAGAACCGATCGTTCCCTTTTTTTTTTTGTTCTCTTTTCTTTCCGAGAGAGCCCTAATTGCACCGCCGCGATTTCGTTTCACAATTTTGCCTACGTAGTTGGGGGGGTTAGCGTTCACATTTTCCCCCAAAATAAAGACTCTGATAACTCTTAGAAAAAAAAATTCAACAAGATATGGCCCGACACATATGTGTATATATATACACGATCTCTATGCAACTCCAGGAGTGCAAATTTCCGCGGAACAATCAGTCCTAATACTCGAGGGATTTTTCGCGAGTTTCTTCGGTTTGGCACGGAGTGGCCTAAATTAATCGATTACTAGAATATGTACAAAGGAATTGGAGTGTCCCTGCCCTGAACGGGGATACCTTGAACGGGGACAAACGCACACCGCTAAATATAAATATCACGCACCTGTATCGCGTTCACCGTATCCCCGCGATCCCGACGTGCAGGTTTTATCTCTTTTTTTTCTTTTTCTTTTTTTCGCGTAACACGTCGCAAGCTGCCCGTTGAAAGGTAGGGTGTGATTTTAGTAATATAGTTACCGTAATAAGGAATAACCTTAAGAGGAAGGAAAAAAGAAATAGATATTCGGACAATCGACCCGATCGGCAGCGTCCGCGTGCGTTTCTCATGGACAAAGTCAGTGAGAGAAACGCCGCGTCTCGCGTAAGTCTTAAATCGTCGTTAAAAACGTCGTATAAAAAAAATAAAAATAAAAATAAAAGAAAAAAGAGAAGAAATTGAGAACCTCGCAATTCCGTCCAATTACGACTGCAAGAAAATCCCATGCAGTAAGAAGTGACGTCAGTCGCGTATAAGACATATAAAAAATCCCCTGGAAAATGCTTCTCTGTATTAAAATCGATTAATGCGCCTAGGAAAATACGTTCCTCGTTTGTATATACAGAAGCAATTTCCAGGATGAGAACGGACTCGAGAGGTTCCCACGTGTAAAGCTGCCTCGTGGCATAAACGCCTGCCGAAAGATTTTCAAGTGAACGGAGCATGTCACGAGAATACTCCTGGGAATTTACCCCGTGCAGGCTGAGGTCGGATTAACCGCAGCATATCGGGGCCAGGCTTATCGACGGATAGGAATTGAATTAACAAAGCCTATATCGGCTCATAGAGGCTGTTCGATGGGCAAGGAGCCTTGCAACAAGGAGGGCTCGTTCTGAGAGGCGGTCGCGCCGCTTCCTGCCGCGTCGCCATTGTTACGTGCACTCCCATTGTTGTTCTGCCCATTGAGAAACGAGGCCATCTCCATAGGTGATTGCTGTCCACTCTAATGACAAGATGATTCCAATGCTCTTAAATGTGTACTTCGGCATTAGTCGGGACGCAAGGTCGGATACTAACCTTAGGATGCATCGCGTCCTCCGGGGCATCAAGGCCAGCCAGCGGATTAGACGTTATGTTGATCTTGGAATCGGTAACGCCACCGTTAATTGCTCTACCATTAGCCATGGGTTTACCTGGAAACAATAGAAACCTTGTAACCGGAGGTCACGAACGCTCTCTAACGGCTCTCTCCTCATTGCAATACAAGAGATCAAGGTCGATACACCAAGTAGGATCTCATGCGCGTTACCTTGATCTTGCGAGGACTCCCTGTTCTGCTTGTGTTTATTCCTCTTATAAACCACAGCCATGGCCGCCAACCCTCCGAGCAGGGTCGCACCCCCCAAAGCACCTCCGACAATAGCGTACATGCTGTCGCTGCGATCGCTGTCGGCAGACTTGACTTTATTCTCGACGAAGACCTGCTCCACCAGAGGCTCCGTAGGGGGAGCTTTCTTCGTCCTGCAGCCAAGGATCTTCGAGAACTCCGAGGCGGCGTCCACGGAGAAGCTCTGCACCTTGAACTCATAGGTGGTGTCCGGCAGCAGGTGGGAAATGGTAATGTTGGTGGCATTCTTGCCTTCGACGGTAGTCTTGACGTAGTCTCCTGCCGTGGTGGAGGTACGATGGTAAACGTAGAAGCCATCAATGTCGGCGGACCTGTTTGGATTCTGCCAGAGCAGGAGCACCTCGTGTGGCCCCAGCACCTCGGTGTTGGTCAACAGAGGAATCGGCATTCTGTTCACCTCGAATTCGAGGTTCCTGTTCAGGTGGAACGGCGCCGAGTTAGGGCTCAACTTGTTATCGTTGTTGGAATACACCGCGGCTATCCTGAATCGGTAGATGTGGTCGGGCAGGAGCTCCGTCACTTCGAAGGAGCGCACGTGGTTCGGTATTTCCATATTCGACGTCATCCACTTGGTAGGTTTCCGGTTCATCTTCTGGCCTAGTTCGCGGTACTGCACCTTGAAGAACTGGATCGGCAGGCCTTTGTTCTCAGGGACCGACCAACGGACCATCACCGACACGTCGGAGAGTCTTGTCACGTTCGGCTGGTTCGGCGGCACCAGGACCGCTGAGAAATTTACGAAAGAATTTTAAGTAATGCCCTTTCATCCGTTCACCTAAACTATGCCATGTGAATTTTGAGTAAACGTGACACGCTAGTGTTAAAGGGGACGTACTCACCTGTGCCTTTACGTTTTCCCTCCTTTCCCCGTCTCCTTCCCCCGACTCTGGTATGCTTATGGCCGGTGGTAGGTAAACCATAATCGGGCCTGGGTTCCGTCGTGCCCCCAATGTGCTGCTTCGGATTAACCCTAAGCATGCTGTATCCCGAGTCGGACCCGTACTCGTTACTAGCGACGCACTGCACAATCCCAGCATGTCGCTTTTCAACCGGCGAGACGAAGAGAGTGGAGCCCTTGATCTCGATGTTGTCACTCCTCGTCAAAGGTTCACCATTGATAAGCCACTCTATTGTAGGCTCTGGCTGCCCCGTTACGTTGCAGCTCAACTCCATCTCTCCACCCTCCGAGAACGTGGTAGTCTTCGGAGCTCTGACTACCCTTGGTAATTCCACCACTTTTAGGATTATCACCGATCTTATGCGTTTCACACTGTTCCGCCACACACAGTCGTATTCACCGCGATCTGCAGGCTGTACGTTGGCTATTGTCAGTCCTGCGGACGTGTAATGAGACCGAGAAGGCAAAGGTCCACTTAATCTAGTCCAAGTAACCATTGGCACAGGGTATCCCGCAGCAAAGCACTCCAATGTTACGTTCCTCCCTCGTAGAACTTTATATTCCGTTTGTGGTTGCTTCACGAAGTACGGTGCCTCATGTGTTGTGTCGGCATGCACCGTCAATACTGTTTTATGATTGCTCCAAAACGTCTCAGAGGTTATGTAGTTGTTCGCCGCGCAGTTGTAATGGCCCGAGTCCGATGACCGGGCATTCTCGATGACCATGGTCTTACCACCTGTCATGTTGACGCTCTCCACGAGGTTATTGTCCTTGTAAAATTGAACGAGCGCCTCCGGAGAAGAATAAGGCACTGGACAAGTAATTGGAACCGTGTTTCCTGTTGCGACCCGTATTCCAACGTTGCTCCTGTCACTGAATTTCTCTATAGTGGCAAGACTTAGTCTTGCTGGTTCGGAAGCCAAGCCACTCGTACCTAAAAATGATTACGTAGACATTAGATGAATCGATTAAACAAGTGCATTGTATTTATTTCTTCTCTCTTGATCTTACCATAAAATGCTATGCATCGAAAGTCACCAGCCTTTGATTCGTCGTCAAAATTAAAGACATGCTTCGAAGTCTTGCCCCCGCTGTTAGGTGTGTGAATAAGCGGTCCCCATTTGTCCGATCCCAAAGGCTTATGCCGCCATGCAAACTTCTCTGCAGCAAGACTCAGGCTACATTCGAAGTATACCTCGTCACCAAGGGGAGCAGCCAGTGGTTGAGGATGTCGTGTAAATGACATGCCTAGTAGGTCTATAAATGGTAACATTTTTTAAAATTGATGTACATTATGGAATACACCTTCTACGACACAAGTGAGTCATGTTTTATAAGACTTACCGGAAGCTCGGCATCCTGCCAGGTATAGGAAGACCACGAGGGCGCCGTACAGGGAAGACGCCGAACGCATCTTGACACATTCTGAAAGCACGGAACGCAAACGTTAGGTTACGTTATTTGTGTGATATTGCTTTTCGGCCTGGTTGGCAGAGGCTCGCATGCCTTCCCCGAGTCGGAGCCACTAAAATTATTGCCGGGAACCTGGTTTAAGTTTAGAACGAGGAGTTCATGTGAAAATAGAACGCATTCTCGCGTGCTCAGCATAGGCCGAGCACCGATCGACCTGGATGTCGTTAAACGGCTCCTTAGCTTCCAGAAGGGAATACTGCACCCAACGGAATGCATAAGCTTGCAGCACTAATGCATCAACATTCGCTTGCACATACAAGGTAGCTGCATTTACATGAAAAGTATTGTCAGCTCATTCCAGTATTCAGATACTATTCTTAACATTACCAAGGACTAACCTCAGCCGCCTGCTCCGTACATTAACACCTCAAAGATTATGTCAAGTTTCATCGGTCAATCCTTTGTAACGGCTACGTAGCTCTCGGAGCCATCAACTAACCTAAAAATTCACCGACGCCAGGCGATCGCGTCAGTATTATCAACCACGCCGAGTGTTTTCAAAATACCCGTTAAATACCCACGACGCATTTAGGCGTTACTTAGATTACCTAATCCGAGGCTTCACATTTCGATGAAATAAACAACAATAAACAAGCAATTCGCATCCGGCGTTTACTAAACATTCACCGAACGACGCAAAATCGACGCGAGCCCGAAACCACGTGCAGTCCCGAGACAAGGCGCATCCATCGAGCAGGTTCGCGCAGGTTCACGCAGGTTTGACCTACGTCCACCTTGCGTCGCCAGCGTCGCTCGCCTCGAGGCGGGCTTTTCGACCGGTCGATCGAGTCGCTCGACTCGCGAGGCGCCATCGTTCGATTCCTCAACTGGGTCTCCTAACCAAACCAGTGCATATGTAATATTACGTGCGCGAACGAATCGTCGATGCAAACCCGTACACACCGAGGCCGGTTGAATTTCTCTCTCCCCTCCTCGAACCAGTGTGGATGATTTCACGATTGGAAATGCAACGCTCGGGAGCGAATGTCCGTATATGGGGACGAAAACCGTCGATTATAACGCGGCGCGGCGTTTAACGGGCGTGCGTGGGCGTCATAATGACAGAAAGCGCGTACTGGGCTCGGATCTCTAGCAGAACGATTATTCATTGGCCAACGGCCACCGGCGCACGTGGGCAGTCCCATTCACGGATAGGCGAGCCGCCCACGCGGCTCCTCTCTATATAGATCTATGGAATTATCCGACGTTGTTGATTTTTCCCTCCCTCGTTTCCATGCGCCCCGGACGCGCATCGACACCTCGGAGTGTCCTAATAAGAAGAGCGTACCTTAGGCGCCTCCGCGCCCTCTGGCGAACCGCGCCACCAATGCCGGCGAGACGCGTAACAGGTGAGAAGTAGTCCGAGCCGCCTATTTTCCGAGCGATCCTCCGCGCTCCTTCCGTCTCTCTCTCTCTCTCGCCCCTCAAAATAAAGAACTCGAATTCCGAGCCAGCGGTTGCCAACCTCCGCGGGGCCGAGGTGCGCGCGCACCTCCAAGTCCTCGAGAAAAATGGCGGCTGGAATCCGACCAGGAATTTTCCCACCTCTCGGAAACGATCCGCGAAATTCACGACGCCGCGCCTCATTTGCGATCGAGCTTCTCGCTCTTCTTATTAAATTCCATCTCGAGGAATTCTTGTCACTTAACGAGCGCGACCAGTCTTCGAGGAATCGAATCGACTCGCAACGTGGAATGCCGAACGGTGCTTTAAGCCTTTAAGATGATGTAAAAGAATTTTATATATATATAACGTGAGAATATTTATAAAACTTCAGCCTGTGAAGGCCCTACGGAAGAACGCGATGCTCGTGAAATTTCATTTTTGATAATTTCATTTTTGCTTTTATTTATCTCAGATTAGAATATATTTTTTTTGTATGAAATTTCATGAACACCAGGTTTTTCCTTAGGACCTCTATAATTCCATGCGGAAGCTTGATTCGGTCCACCCAGTTTGGGGAAAAGTTCTAACAAATATTTTGACGTTTTGTGTATGCAAAATGACTCTTTCGTATCACCTTAACGAGGACGGACCGGGCCGTGATTTGTCCGCAATTTTATTTCTGGCCCGTTCTAATTCTACCTCTTTGTTCCAGTCCATGGCGCGGCGGTCCAAAGTATGCGAGAGCGACTCCGACGTGCGTAAAACCGACGCAATTACGCCGAGAGAGGCCCAAAGGCCAAATTGGCCTTTCTAATTCGAGTGGTTCACCTCTCGCGGGTAGATTCGAATTCGGGTGAGATGATTGCGCATCGATCTCGAGAGATCGTTTTTGGGATGGACCACGATGCTCGATCGGATATTTCTTTGACGGCTTGATCGAATCCTCGACATCTTAGGCGGGATATCGATTCTTGATTTCATGCGAATTTTTTCCGCGTACGAATAGACTCGCACAAAAAATCCTCGCATTATTGCGACGTCGGGTCCATTGATAAACATTTAAAAGACGTATACGAAACTGTGAATTTCGCGTGAGAAATGAATATGCGAAAAAAAAAAATAATCTGTATGAACTAGAGAATCGGATCCCAGCAGCTGAAGATGGAAGATTCGAGGATATCCGATACATCGGATATCCTCGGTAGGAAATATCGCTATATCGATCACCCTCTCGAGCACGACCGATATCACATAACAGTTCCTTTGATAGAGCCAGCTCCTCTTATCGTGGATGCGTTATCGGTGAGCCGCGACTCGCGTGCGATATTTACCCCCTGAATAAACATTTGTTAAACGATCCCTTTCGTATCAAAGGACTCGTAGAAATTCACCCGTGTAACCGAGGACTGTGTACCTGTTGAAGGCCTTTATAAGCCGTTATCCGAAGTCCTTCGGATAAATAGAACAAATACAAGGAGGCCCTTCCTCGCATTGAGCACCCCTGCTCGCTTACCTGTTCGGCACCGAACCAAACGAATTCGAAATCCGCCGCGGTATTTTCGTAACGCGGAACGCAGGTAGAGTACGGTCGTGGTATTTATTTTTTGGCGAAATCCGTTCTGCACTTGCCCTTAAATCGGTGCAATTTTTCGAGGAGCTTCGTCATCAACGCCTCGCCGAGAAGAAAAACCGCTCCGTCCGAGAGCCTCGATTCGAGAGTCGGAGAGGTGTTCGAATCTCTTTTTAATTATGCAAATTAGCCGGCCCTATCCGAACCGTCCGGGTCCGATCGAACCGCCATATTGAATTAATCGCCCACGCGGATGATTGGACTTTTCTCGCGTTAAGTGGCGCGTCAAAGAACGCTCTAGTTCTCCAGCGAACTGGCCAATCACCCGCGTAGGCGATCCTCTAATCAGGTGGACGTGATCTCTACCCGCGGAGTGGAAAACGGAGAAGAAATCCTTCGTCTTATTTTATTCCAGTGACATGAAAAGTACGGTTCTCAGCGGATGAAAATGATAGACACACGGCGTCCGTGTAGAGGGAAATTTATTGCAGGCGCCAGTGCGCGCGCACCGAGGGGAGGTCACGTGTCCTCACGTGCGCACTCGGGAGGCGCGCGCGAGTCGCGTGTCGGAGGTGGCGAGGAGCGCTCACACGCGCGTCGACCGCGCATCCGTGCGGGTCGGCTGTCGTCGTACCGTTCCCCGCGGGCAGAATCGATGGAAGCGTTTAAAATGCGAATATAGGAACAGCGATGGATACACCATTATTCAAACTAAACATATTATAATTGTTTAAAAGAGGGACGAAAGAGGAAGAAAGTCTCGACGAGACGGTATCGTCAATTAACGTATTTACATCAAGGAGTGATTTCGGAAATTGAGTACACGAGGAACACCGGTAGTATATATGCACCTGCATGCCAAATCCCGGGCTCTGATTGGCCGACATTCCCGCTCCAACGGAAAGCGTCCCACGGGTGAACCAGATAAACACAGATTATTCGGGAGGAAATATATATATAAATACGTGGAAAACACGATCTAAAGTTTTGTATGCAGTTTTATATCTTGCGGCGGTAAAAGGTTTCGAAGGTTGTTTCGCTCTTTCGACCGTAAGGGTGAAAGAAGAATCGAGAAGCCGAGCACGCGGGGTGCCTTCCCGTGGAGCGCCGGTGGCTTGTGTGCACCTGCACGCGAAATCACGGGCCCTGATTGGCCGACGCGGCGGCGCCATGGGAAAAGCGTCCCACGGGTCGGCCAGCGACACCGACTCGGATTTTTCGCGGCGCGTCGCCGTCCGTGGAAAGCCGAGGGATAAATAAAATACCCGCGAGCGATGACCAACGAGAGAATAACGTCGAAAGGGGCGCAACGGGACGCGCGAAACGTAGGGTCGACCGGGAAGGAGACGCGTCCGAAGCCCGGGTCGAAAGGGAGCAAGGAGAAACCCGGAATGTCCACGGTAAATGCGGAATTGACGGCGCGACTCACCCTTTCGCGTCCCCTCGAGCAGTCCACCTTCTCGGGCGTCTTCGACTTCTGGACGAGGTCTATCGATCCGATGCCAGCACTCGATCGTTCACTCCATTTTCACTGAGAGTGCGCTTGGTCGCACGGCGAGCGCACCGAAATCCACGGCGGTTGGCGTCCACCGGGAACACTGGAATGCAGACCGACGGGTTTTGAACCACGGTGCGGGGACCCCGCTGTCGGCGGCGCGTACCCGAGCCGCCGCGCGCGCCTCTGATTGGTCGAGCCGCGTGACGTCACGTACCACGTGGTACACCCTCCTCTAGCGCCGCCATTTTCGAAAGGAGAACCGCTTCTCCGACGCGAACCGCAAGAAATGCCGAATGCTACGGACGCGATTTCGAGTATTATAATCAGAATGTAAAAAGAAATAATAAAGAAGGAAAACTTGTTCTCGATTATGCTCGGACCGAAAGTTTCGGCCCTCTTTCTAGCCGGACTAAAGTCGCATCGGTCTCAGCATCCTGCCGGTTGAATTCCACCGTGCATTTCCGTCACTGGCCGAGAATAGACACCGCTCCGAGACGTGACCTACAAAGAAGGCACTCCAAGTATATCGCGAGGAAAATATTAATAAGAAATAACAAAAGGGGGCTACTCTTTTCCACCGTTTTCATTAGACAAAGTTCCGTCGTGGTTACAGCCTAAAATATTACACTTAAGTCGTATAAGCAAGGCCAAAAACTTAACAAACATTTTACAGTGTGATCGTTTAAAATTAATAANTATTTAGATGTATTTGCTAAAAATCAGTAGCAATAAACGTTCGCGTTCGCAAAGTAAAAGAGTTCCTAGGGTTTGGCACATCACGCAACGGAAGCAACTCAAAATCACTGTCCTCTCTCTCTCTATCTCTCTCTTTCACGCGTTTTGATTGTCCGTGGCTAGGTGTGTGTGGTTAATTCTTTCATCTCCTCTCATAAAACGTCACTTTAAAAGCTAATTCGTGGGTCGCGGCGCTGTAGGATAAGTTAATTAATTTAATGCCTCGCTTTAATCAGCCGGTCTTTCGTTGAGATTTCCGCCCCATGGCGAGTTTTTCTCGTCGCGTCGATTCTTTTGAACAGTGATTTTTTTTTCTTCTTCAAAATTTCTTATTCTTTCGCCACAGATCTTTCCTAAGCTTTCTCGCTTTCCCCAGGGCCAAGGTCCTGTAGAGATCTACGAGATGGGTTCTACCGGAAAAGTTCGAGTCACCCTTTAATTCAATTTAATTCATGGTCGAGTATAAATTCCGAAACCGCTGTCTGATCGACTCGACCGCATGTCTCTTTGTTTTTGGTCGTGAATTATGAAACTAGTCAAGTTATGCAGCGAGCTTGGTAGGCCAAGCGTTGACGCTCAAACGGCCGGTTTAACGTTAAGTATAATATTAGTTCGTGATAACGGCCAGCAGTTTGAGCATTGATAACGCCCTTGGAGATTTCTTAAACGATCAAGTCTAAGTCTTTACGCTAAGGGAATCGAATGTGCCGCATTTCTTCGCCAAGTACTTTTGACAATCGTGGTATAAAGGAAATTACCTTCCATAAAAGCTCCCTTCGATCTTATAAAAATTCCTCGCGTTAAGTATTGCCGAAGAAATGAGTCCAATTCGAAAAGCAATTGCACAGTTTCCACTTAAATTATCAATTCGAGCGAATAATATGAGGTTCGCCCGTAACAAGCTTTAAAGTAACTCAGCAACCAGCAGGTCGTATAAAATATATTAGCTTGATTAAATTCCCTTAAACTAACGTGTTAAAGCAAATTAATCTAAAACCAAGTCTTAACGAAAGCTTTCCAGCGCGATTGCGATGAAGATTGTACAGCTTAACAAATCTTAACATTCGTCCGCTCGGAACGATTGGAAGAGGAAAAAAAAACAAAAAAAAAACAAAGACTTATAGGAAAAATCGAACGTGCCCCATCTCTTCGACAATTCATTAACGAGCATGATCCGACGTGTAATGAAACTTATATACATTGCGTTTAGCGAATTTCGTCAAAATCTGACCGAATAAAAATTCCCCCCGCGAGTCGTCCCGTCGAAGAAATGGGCCATATTCGGAAACCAATTGCACAGTTTCCTCTTAATATAAATCATGTTAATCCAACCCACGCGAATAATTTAGAGAGTTCACTTATTAACGAGGCCTAACTCAACTTGGCAACAGGTCGAATTAATCCGTGGAAGCCAGCAACAGGGATTATACTAAATTTTTCGTAAATTCGGTCTAATAGCCGTTACCAAAAAAAAAAAAAAAAGAGAATAGAAAAAGAACGAGAAAACGAAGTTAACTCCAACAGCTGACTCCTCGCAAAGTTCTGCGAAAACGTTCGAAAGGTTTGCGGCTTCCTCGCCGTACCGATCCGATCGCAGAGTATTCCATCCGATATCAGGCGTAACTGGTGTATTGCTTTTGGATTATCCCGCTAAACGATACCCTAGCGTTAACTTAACGATTAGCTACCACTAGAGTGATATAAGAAAGGGCTCTCGTCGGCCTCCTAGTCAAGTAGTTTAGAATAAGCTACATGGAAGAACGGACCTTCAGTCGTAGCGAACGGGAGCTAGTCTTTAAGAAATCGAACGAACAGTCAAACTAGATCGCTTGGACGCACCTCGCTAAGTAACCCCATTTAATTAAATACAACAAATTAAGCGCAACTTGGTGACGAGTAAACGAACGTGACCCTTAAAAAAAAAAAGGAAAAAAAAACCAAACCCGATAGAAGGGTCTTACAAATGCAATCGCAGGGGATTGGCGATGTCAAGATGTTGCGTTAATTTTAACTGTGCAGAGGGAGGTTCACAGAATTTCTGTAAATTCGTGCATCGCAATTATCAAGTCCACCAAGTTTAAATAAATAATAAAAAGAAAACAGAAGAGACAGCACATTAACAAGAATTCAGCCGTAATGTCCGTCGTTCACTTTCCGCACGGATGGCCGATCGAGTGCAACCGCGGATTGTCTTCAAAGTCGAAGATAAAAACAACAACAAATCATCCCCAACCTCGTCCTCTTTTTTTTTCTTTTCCAAAACGGAAGAAAATACATATGTGAATACGAATAGCGAGCTAATTTTCAACACCCTTCCATCCTGGTCGAGAGCTCACCGTGTCTCCGAAGAGTTGCTCAAAGAAAAGATAGAGAAAAAAAAAAGAGAAAAGAAAAGGGGGAAAAAAGACGAAAAATCGAAAACCCCAATCACGTGCGCGATCTTACGTTCTTTCCCTCTTTCCTTCCTTTCTTTAATTATTTTTCTTCTTTTTTCTTTTTCTTTTTCTTTTTTTTTTTTAGAGAAATACATATCACAGATTACACAAGCAAATATTATTGCCGCTCTCGAGCACACGAGGGGATCGTCTCGCGATATTTACAGAGACGACCGTATTGCGAATTGTCAACCTAGGATGGGTCGAGAGATAAATATAAGTATGTATGTATATATTATATATGGGGAAAAGGCTCGTTCGATAACAATGTGGCATTCTTTCCTGCAAGCTGCACACATTCGTGCAATAGACTAGCTGCGATCACATGAGCATGAAAAGAGAAAAAAAGTAATGAATATACAAGAGGAAAAAAAAACAAAAAAAGAGACAAACAAATGTCATCGCGCCCTTTCAAGGCCTAGTTTCGCTCGTTCGCTCAAGTAATATTAAAACCGATCGACGAGCCAATTGCATTGCTAAAAAAGGCGACAACTCGGACACTAATGGAACTTATAAAACAAGGGAAATTAGGAGATCGTCACTGTAAGATTTTACGAATTAATGCATTTGATTGATTGGACTTGTCGACGTTATTAACAATGCAGATTAAGCGCAATCATACCGTCCAAGCTACGGCGTGACCCCGTCCCAGTGTTTCATATTTATATATGTATAACCAGTTATGTACTTCAACACACGTTGAGAAGAAGAACAGTAGTTCTTGAATTATTCAGAAAATAAGGGGGGAAAAAAAAGAACGGTACGGTAAAGAAATGGTAATAGGAAGTTACCCATTGGCAGGGCCGGTCTAATTGCGCCCCGATAGTTCGCCATTTGCTCGCCAACGTCGAGAGCGGTTTTCATTCCCCTCTGTTATTTTCCCCTCACATTTTAAGCTAATGAACATCCGTTATCAGCGAATCGTTAGGAAGAGCTTTTATCACGCGGGCGAAGGCCCTGTAAAAATATACCATCTCTCTATATAGACCTACACACGAGTTCACACGAGTAGTAGGATCTCCCCTCGTCGTCGCCTGCCCCGAGGCCTTTACAAGGACGATCCGCGTCCTAATAAAAAAATTAGAAGAACCGAGGAAAAGAAATAAAGAGTCTACAAATAAGAGACAAGAAGCGCCCGCAACCCTCCGAGATAATTTTACAAATTTTACAAACTTCTCCAATACCGCCCTCCCCTACGTATCTTACACTTAACTCCGCGGATAATGATCAACAAGGTTTATAGGGAATTAGAATACTTTACGTCCCCCGATTACGCTAGACCCGCGACCGTTAGGACGAAAAAGACACAACGGCTACTCCCTACTCGGATACCCGAGCCGATTAATACATCCCCAGTCTCTAGGGACCCATTTCTACAAAAATACGACGGTGATCTCTGTTCCCAGATCGGTCTAGGTCTCCCTGAGAGAGGCTTATCAATTCCGGCCGTTCAACGGATCGATTGCTATTTAGAAAACCGGCGACGACCTCGGGCACGCGACGACTCGGAGAGAGCGTGGCCTGTGCGCGTGCCACGCAATTTCCTTGAGAACTATCCCCGCAAGCCACGGATACATAGAGTAGAAAAAGGCGAGGAGAACACTACAGACCCCCTTCTCGTTCAATGCCCGTCGCGCGATGGAAGTTTTGTAAGTTCGCGGCACCAGCGTCGCGTCGCCGGGGGTGTCCCACTCGAGCGGACGCCGCGACGCGCCTCGTGTACGACCGTGTGTGTCTCTTATTTCGCGATGCTTGTTACATACGAGTATGTATTTATTTATATATATATATATATCTTCCGTTTTCAAATATATTATCGATCTCTCTATCGAATGGTAATCAACCGCATCTCTATACATATCTACAGAAGAAACCTATTATAGAGCTCTATTATAGTTAATTAAACTCTCTCTCTTTCTCTCTCGCTTTCTTTCTCACTTTTTCTCCCTATATTAAATAATATTGTGTATAGTCCATCCGCTCCCATAAAAGTAGCCATTTCGTGTTCTGCGCAAGGCATTCCTCCAGAGCGTCCACGTCGCGCAGCCCCATCGACGCCGCGCTCCGATTGGTTCCCCGTGAGTCGTGCTACCGACCGCCGCCATTTTGCTTTTCGTTCTTCGTTGCCCAATTCGGTCGTAGAAAGGTTTCAGGTCGCGTCGCGACGGGACTCTCTGATACTTCTGCGAAAGAAATGGGCAACGGAGTCTCATTAACACCTGGTCCTCTCAGCGGATGCTCCCTCGTTGGCTGACGCACCCGCACCTGGTTCCCAACGTTCCCTAGTACCCTAGTTAGAAACGATCCCTTAAAGCGGTGCTCCCCTACTTATTGCTTCTGGTTTTAGCGCTAATCGAATTCACTTTTGGCATCGTGACGGGTTTCCGCGAACCCTGAAAGCGAGCGCTGAGTGTCGTACCGTGCCGGAAACCGTACATCCGTTGTACGTCAGCGCCCACGGTATTGCAATCGATCGCAGCGCTTCTAGCGACGACTAGCCGCACCTCCGGGCATCTTCTTCATTTAATCGGCTCCTCGGTACCCTCCGCATCCCAAGCGTCGCCCGTTCCTCTTCCGGCTTCCTTAAGAGACCCCTGACCTCTCGAGGTCGCCGTCCGCGCGCCTCGACGACGAGATATGCGTCGTTTTGACTCGTAAAAACGCGTTAACCCCTGACCTGTTTCAGATGCCGGTTGCCCTCGTCCCACTCGCGCCAACGTCTGCGTCTCTTCTCGGGCGAGCTCGGATATTCGCTCGGAGCCGACCTCCTCTTGATCCGCGACGTCTCCTCGACCCTGGTGACCGCGCTCTGCGTATGAGCACCCTGAGAAACGTGCTGTGGCCTCCCGTGGCCGAGAGCCGTGCTGACGCCGGCCAGGTTGAGCAACGCATCCGCACCCTCCGCGATCTTCCGCTGCTCGTCGAAGTCCGTCCCGGTCACGTCCACTCCGGAACACCTCTTACTGCGACAGGAAATTCTTTTTGTCTCCTGTCCTTGAACGGAAGGAAATAAAAAGTATGGTCCTACCTTTCCAACTTAATCGACGTGATGCAGCTGTACGTATGGTCCTCGCTGGAACTCCTCGTGATGACCGGGACTAGCTTCTCGGGTTCCATTAACTTCCTCCTGCGATCTGTGGAGGTCACGATTAAGGGTTTTAGATAATGTACACGCGTGTAAGGAGAAAATCAACGAAAGGGAACTCTCGACACACCTTTGTTGTGGTTCAGGATGATAGGGCCGTGTTTGAAGGAGAGCATCGCCGCAGCGGCCGCGTCCACGTCGCTGTCCACTTCCGCTTCCGGGCTGTCGCCGATGTTGCTGGAGGCGAGCCTTTTCGAGAGATAAGGGAAGAGGACCGGATCCGGAAGACGTGCTCCGATGTTCTTTCTTGGAGTTTTTTCGGGGGAGGAAATACTTTGAGCGGTCGGGGGAGGAAACGGCGCCCGCGACAAGGCTTGGATAAGGTTCGGCCTGTACTGGGCATCCACCATCCACAGCGATCCCTTGCCTAAATTCTGGAAAAGTCCACCATAAAGAATCGTACGCGTTAATCGATTCCTTGGAGCCCATTCACGCGGTGGAAGGGCGATTCTAAATCATTTCTCGACGTACCGGAGCCTTCTCCACCTTGCGGAAGCACTTGTTCAGACTCAGATTGTGCCTGACGGAGTTCTTCCAGCCCGTGGGTGCGTTCCTGAAGTAGGGGAAGTGATCCAGGATCCAGGCGTACACCTCTTTGACGGGAAGGGCCTTCACGGGGCTGTCCTCGATCGCCATGAAGATCAGGCAGGAAAACGAATACGGTGGTTTGCTATTTCTATGCAAATGAGGATCGTAAGGTATGTGGGTCGGGTGTTTGTTGCGATTCGAGACCGGCAGATTATTGTTGCTCAGAGATATCTTCGCCTGATTACTTTGGGCCGTATCGTAGTGACTCTTGATAGACTCCTGAAGGTTCTGCGAGGACTTCTGGTAACCCCTTCCGTTGTTCTGGTAACACTGTCCCTGTGTAGAACTGGAACTACTCTTCCCGTTGCTCTCTGGAAACGCGAATAAATTTAACGATCCCGTGACATTTCCAGTAAGGAATGTAAACGAAGCCAGGAACATCCTACGTATGAACTCTTCCCCTTACCTGGAGAATAATTTTCGTCGAGGCTCGACACGGAATTGGTGTTCTCGGAGAGGTCGGCACTGTCCTCGCACACGTTGTTGTTCAGGGCGTTCTCGTTTTTGGCGTTCTTCGAGGGATTCGAGATCTCCAGGCCCTTGAGGAGGTTCTGCTGGTGCAGCCAGCTGAGAGAGGTAAGGTCGTCGTCGGACTGGCCGTTCTTGTCTACCGACTTCTCGCTGGGACTCGCCTCCTCGTTGAACTCATCCGCCGAGCTCGTCTCCGCGAAGGTGCTCGCGTTGTCCCCCTCCTTCAGCGTGTACACCTCTCTGAGACTGAAGACTCGCGTGATGGTCAGACCCATCGCGGTCTCCATGTCTGCCGTGTCGGGCCTGTCCGGAGCCATCTCGCAAATGGTACTGTAGTCACTAAAACCATCGTATCAAGATACCTAAATACCAAACAACCTCTTCATTTTCCCATTATCCTCCGTTTATCAAACTGACCTACTCCAAAAAAAAAAAAAAAACATTAATTAAAGGAAAGAATTCTATTTAATAGGGGAAAGAATGAAAACGTACAAGCTGTTTCACGCTCGACCTTCATCTCGCTCGCCACATGTCGGTATCGGTTAACCTCACTTTTCCAGAGTCCCAAATGTCACGTGTCACGGAACACCGGGTGTCAATAAAACCCTAACCCCAAAAAGTACTGGCTTCCGAGTTTTCTCCCGTCTGCGGGTCCGGGAGAAAAAAAAAATACTCAGACTCACTAATAAGAAACGAAAATTTCCGATTAAATCGAAGTGGTTCTAAAAGCCATACGCGAACGAGGGGGTTATATCACGGCCGGATTTTCTCTCCACCATGATTTGGTATCGATTTTAACGACTTCTAGAAATCGGAAACTACATTTTCCGCGAGCTGCTCCCGCGGGATAATACCTTCGAGACGTCCGGAAGGAATCTGACGGGATAGCGCCTGACGTCTCGCGATGCGGAACGTGGAGGCCACGTAGGAGCATCGATGCGGGATGCCGTTGCCAGGCAACGCGACTCCCTGTTTGTTACCATGGCAACGCGGTTGCGCGTGCCGCTACGAAGATGAGTGCGCGTGGCATAAAAGATCCGCCGGGAGGCGCGAGCGCCCATTCCGTCGTCGCGTCCCGCACACGCGGAATGTCCGCGTACGCGTTCCGGAGCGGAAGAAAACATGGCGGTCGGAATATAAAGAACGAACGGAGCCCTCCCACTTTCTTTTTATCTTTTCCCCTGGTTACACTTCCTGTTGACCGTTAAAGCCGTTCCGTCTAGTTCGGTTCGATGACGCAGAAGCTCCAAACGCGCCGAGTGCGACTGAGACGCTCTTTGTTATGCTTATTAAATTATTATAGAGACGGCTCTTACTCGCGCGAGTCTGAGCGGGAGTTGATTTTCGCCCTGACGAAGTCTCGCTCTAGAGGGTTGAGTTTGAAACTTTCAGGAAGATTCCCTAGAACGGACATAGGGAGGATTTGTTTATCTCGCGTAGCGGGATGTCGGTAGACCGTGGCTATTAATAACCCGTCGTCAACGTCGGTCACTTTCTCGGGCGTGCATATCCATTTGCGCATGGGTCCCCGTTTTCCCCCCGCGGGACGAAAATAAGCGTACAAAGGTGTATCGCGATTGTCACCCGGCCGCGTTTCGGGACCGCTTTTGTAAACCTCGTAAAAGGATGAAAGACGCACGAGGTACTTAGATATTGACCTCCTAACGGGTGGGAAGGAGGTTAAAATCGCATTGGAGTCGTAGAATTAAGCGATATAATCTGTACACACGGGCGTATAATTAATCCGAAGAAATCCGACATTCAAATCTCGCGCTCGCCGATGCAGTTAACCTCGACCGCAGCGCCGACCTCGTTTGTTTATGCACTTAGGGAATGCCAAGATGGCCGCCGCCAGGATGCAAGCGAGGCCGGGGCATTCGCGTCCCGATACTCCGCGTCTTTCCGGGGAGCGAAAGCCCACGGAAACCGCAGCCCGGCGGGCAAATCCGAGAAAAACATCCAACACCGCCGGCTGCGTGACCAATCAATTATCGCGAACCGACAATGGCGTCCACAAGTGATCTCCGACATGTTACGTTCGTCTCCCCGTCTTCGCGACCCTGACGTACGGATCCTTGGTAACCCAGTCGACATCGCATTTTCCAACCATCGTCGAAATTAAATCTCCCCAGGTATTTCCGTCACGGAGGAAAAAAGGGGACAAACAAGACGTAACAGACCCGGGAGTTGCGTAGCCATGGTACACTTGGGCTACTTGTTGAATTCAAATATGGCGCTGACGATTTCCGACAATGGCGTCCACTCTACGCTTTTCCACCCTTCCCCGCGCTCCCGATGTGCAGGTCCGCTGCAACTGGAAATACTCGTAAACATTGCCCTATCCGAGATATTATTTGAATTAAAACTAGGATTCACTTAATTCGTCCTGCGAGGAGGAAACGAGATGGCGACGTCGAATTTTAAAACGACGCGTTTAGGAACGCTTTCCCAAAGGGCGAAAGGCATCCCAGTGAGCGCCAATGAGATCAGGTAACGGAACGATTTTCCGGAGCTCGCATCGTCTGCTAGAGTGCCCGAAAATACTTCCCCTGAATATTCATGATCACGGGGAAATCACTCCTGGCGAAAATCCCGAGATCGATCGCGGATGAAAAATCGACGTCTCCGGAGGGCGCGCGCCAAGGTCGCGGAACCTTGTGGGGTGTCGCCACGGCGCACGGCAGGCTGACTCGCCGGGCTGCGTTACTTGTTGAATTCAAATATGGTGCTGATAACGATTACGAAACTCGGGCGGGCATGAAAATGGCCACGGCATCGCTTGCACACGGCGTCGACAGGGTGTCCGCGGGGGACTGCGGGGTGCCTCCGAACGCTTAACCTTAAACCTAACCTCAAACCTCGAGGAAGGAGGAAGGCGAGGCGTTCCACGAGGAAGTCTTCGCGACCGTAACGAGCCCGGGGAGTTTTTCTCAATTTTTGGAGAACCGTACGATCGAGACGCGCGCTAGGTGGCGGATCGCGGTCGAGAGGCGGAATTTTCTCGGGAGTTGCGATCGCGGAGACGCGGAACGACGAGATGCCCCGAGTGAATTTCTCGACGGGGAAAGACGAGTCCGAACGCGTCGAGAGGAAAACCGGGCGGCGCGTTTTGCGTCTCTCGATTTTTCCCGGTTAGTTCGGGTGCTTTCGCTCCGGGGGAAATTCCCCGTGGCGCGGGTTTTCGGAAAGCCGATTCGAGCGATGACCGCGGGGAAGACTTACGTGGTCGAGCACGCAGACGAGGTCCTCCGGGGATTCTTCAGAGACGGGCATCCCGGGCACACTCTACACAACACCCAGCTGATCGGGACGCCATGTTCTGACGTCACTGCGTGACCGAGTAAACGTCACGGCTATCGAGGAGCCGGAGCCACGAGAGCTCGCGGATCGAAATCTATCGAGGCGTCGATGTTCGAGTTATCGAAATTTCGCGCGCCACGAAACCGCGAAATTCGAACGACTCGAACGCGGATTAGCCCTACATCGAGATCTTGGGTAGTTTCATGCGAATATTGCGAATGCCAATTAATTGATCGTGTGTTAATAATGTAATTAAGCGATCGAGAGGTATGTTAATACTTTGCTCCGTGATAATGTCTTTTGGTGAATGTTTAACTGCAATGTTGGCTGCACTTTATATTCAAGCCTCGCTGGGGCGCGAGAAACGCTGAGCTTGCCGGTAAACATTAAAGGGACTTCCGTGACAGCTGATTAGGCTTTCTTCACGCTGAAGGATTACTTTTAAAGAGTCATAATGAAACACTCTAAAGTGAGTAACGTGGTGTATATTTTAGACAACGGCGCCTATACTGCGAAAGTCGGTCTGTCGTCGGATGCCCCGAAGTGAGTAAAATATCCGAGGTTATGTGAGGAAGGTTAATTTATATTCTTCTAATTCTTAGAATCGTTCCTAACTGCATAATGAAAGCGAAGAGTGAAAGGCGGCGACCGTTCATTGGCAACCAAATAGAGGAGTGTCGGGATGCATCCGGCCTGTTCTACATTCTTCCGTTTCAAAAGGGGTATCTGATCAATTGGGATATTCAGAAAACCGTCTGGGACCACATATTTTCAAAAGAATGCTGCCCCGCAAACCTCAGCCAGATGCCGATGATCGTAACCGAACCACTATTTAATTTTACCGCGATCCAAGAAGCTATGACGGAGATTTTCTTCGAGGAATACGATTGCCAGAGTCTTTTGAGGATCAATGCCACTAGTTTATCATGTTATCACTATAGAAGTCAAAATCCAAATTCCAAATGTTGTATAGTGGTAGACAGTGGATATAGCTTCACACATATCGTACCATATGTTAATGGAACAAAAGTTAAAGAAGGTATTAGAAGAATCGACGTTGGAGGCAAATTATTAACAAATCACCTTAAAGAGATAATATCTTATCGCCAGTTACATGTGATGGACGAGACATATGTTATCAACCAGGTTAAGGAAGATGCATGCTTCGTATCGCAAGATTTCTTTGAAGACATGAAACGTGCAAGAAACAAGCCAGAATCGAATCCGATAGTGAAGGACTACGTCCTACCAGATTATACAACTTTAAGGCGAGGATTCCTTAAAGATGTCGAACCACCAAATGAGCAACAAACCTTACGTTTAAATAACGAAAGGTTTGCGATCCCTGAAATACTTTTTCACCCTTCCGATGTGGGCATTCGTCAAATGGGTATTCCAGAAGCTATAATTGACAGTTTAAAAACATGCGACGAAGCTACTTGGCCACATTTACTTGGTAACATTGTTCTTACGGGAGGCAATGCAAAGTTCTCTGGCTTTCGTGAGAGGATCATAAAGGAAGTGAGAAGTCTTGCACCTTCCGAATACACAGTTAATGTTGTACTTCCAAATGAGTGAGTAATATCTCTCTAATACTAAAAAGTACTATTACAGTTTTTTTACTTTCCAACTTTGATAATGAATATAAATTTCTTATCCCTTACAGTCCAGTTACGTATGCATGGGAAGGAGGAAAATTGCTTTCCAAAGATTCGAGCTTTCGGACTCTAGTGGTGACAAGAGAAGAGTATGATGAAGAAGGTCAAGGGATTTGTGCTGACCGTTTTGATGTTTAGCGTAAAGTACTTAATTTAATGTATCTTATTTAATTTGTCATGTTTTAAGCATTTTGGAACTGAATGAGTAATTCATTTCATAAAAATTTCCAAAAGTTATTAAGACTCATGACTTTTTATTATTATTCCAAAGAGAATAATCATGATCACATTGTATCCTTACTTATTCCTTTGAGATTTTCAGATTTTCGAAAATACAATGACATAAAGCTTTATCAAGCAATTTCTTCCACCTGTATACTTATAGAAATTTAACATGCATATAAACGTCTGAAAGTGTATAAAAAAAAAATTTATAATTCACAAGGATTTCATTTGCGACATAAGCTCCTCTAAACTAGGACCACTAGACTGCGAAGGAATAGTTTCATGTTCTCGTTCCACAGGCTGCGAAGGCAGTGTGTATGCTTGCCGGAGACCTGGATTTAATTTAACTGTAGTGCTTTCCTCAGGATCCGACTGGTTTTCATCAACTACTGAAATTCCTTAAATCGAAAAATATGAATTCAAAACAAAATAATAATTTCATACTATACTTCATTAATCAAGTTCTTTTTAAAAAGTTAAAAATTTGTATAAGTACGTTAAAAGAGAATAAATATGATTGTTCCATACCCCATTCATTATCTTCATGCAATGGACCTTCTTCATCTTCGAGGTTTGCCAGGATCTCAACTTTAGGCTTTGCCAAGTATTCCTGCTGCCTTTGACGACAGTACTTGTCATCACAGTTTGGGTTTGGTCTTAATGTCATAGAAGGGAAGAAGTCCTGCATGGCATTGTAGCCTAAATAATATGATACCACTCCAAAATTTAAAAGGCACTTCAGTACGTTTTGTACTAAAAACCCTGCCACTATTCCCATGGTTGTCGGTAAGGATGCTGCGCAGACTCCATCACGCTTCAAGGTCTTTTCATCTATGTTTGATGCAACTACCAGTGGAGGAGCACACTACGTAGAGAAGATTACAATAACAAATTATTATTACTGTTACATTCTATTTAGGAAGAACCAAATGAACATACTGCAAAGCAAGCAGATTCTCCAGGAACAATGAACTGAATATGTCCGGAAACTGCATTCTCGGAAACTCCACTTTCGAACCACTTTTGATTCAGCTCGTTGCAAGCACTGTTGATTGCCATACGTGCTTCAAAATTGTCAACGCAGCTCAGAACTAAATCGACAGGTCCTTCCTGTAAACTCGATGTCCTAAAAAGGTGTAAAATACATTTTATGATCAATAATATCGAGGAGATTTATAACCATTAAGTGAAATAACACAAAATTATTTGTACCTGCCTTAGAATGTCCATAAAGTGCAAAAAGTTGTCCACTGTTGTGATGTTATAATTATATGTATCGATCTCGACATCAGGATTAATAGTTCTTAGCGTCCTTGCCGCTGCCTGCACTTTGCTCTGTCCTACTTGATGTGGTTGGAAAAAAAGTCGGTTCATATTTGCCAATTCTACTTTATCATAGTCAAAGAGGACCAACTGCAATGCAGAACGATACGGGGTTAAAAATAGATATATCAAAATGTCTGTTACATGTAACAAAAAAATAGTTAAACACTACTTCACTTTTCCAATGCCGCATCTCGTAAGCATTTCTGCAGTTACGCTGCCTACACCGCCAACTCCAACAACGGCTACGGTGACTTCTCGTATCTTCTCATAATTATCAACAATTCCCATTCTCTTTAAGGCCATTAATCGACTGCAAAAAAAAAAATATTAACAATTCGAGTAAAATTCTCTTCACAAAGAACACACATTTAACGTTTCGTAATTTTCCTAAAACCCACTAACCTGTAAGGATTCGAATCCACAACTTCGCTGGACATTTGTTCAATTCTTCCCCTAAAAGGGACATCTTTATTTTCCCTCCCCTCGAGCTGTTCCTCCAACTCTTTAATTTTCTTTCGTAACTCATTAATTTCGTCCATGATTCTCTCAAAAGTTAAAAGAATTCTTCCGTAACATCTGTTTGACAGGACATCGAATTCCAGCCTGTCTCCTAACTTCCACGTTGTTCTCCCTGTTTACACCTTCACGGACTGTAAACCGACAGGTTGTTTGTCGCCCCTAATATGGCCGAAAGAACAGCGTCCAATGAGAACGATTCTCTGAATTTAGTCCCATTCTGGTATACACTGTTCCAAGAGAAAAACCCAAGTTGTAATTACGTACCACCTGTGAAGATATAGGTAACGTTAAAAATGTAACGATACCGCATCGGAAGGCGTTTCTGTCGATAAAATATATACGATATAGTTGTCCATTTCAGTCGCCATTGCAGATCTCTAACCTGATTGATCGTTCCCGCTGCACCGCGTGCAGCGATTGGTGAACCGTGTGCATAGAGCAAATAAAGAGCTCAGAGTGTCGTTGCGGTTCCTCTCCACCTTTTCCTTTTCCGCCGTGGCCCGATTCCAGTGAGCTCCGGTCGGAGCACCTGTTCTTCTTACGCTCTGTTCGCTATGCTGGCCACTGGGCCACTGACTGACCACCATGCCAAGAACCTGTCGAAACCGTAAGCTATCTCTTTATCGTGTCACGCCTCCTCACATCTCGGTTCACTCGCGCGGACCTTATTCAACTTGACCAGGTCATTTCGTCCTCACTTTTCTAATGATTCACATAAAAAAGCGGACCTCAAAGGCGTCGGAGGAGGCGCAAGCGAATGCGTTGTCGTTTACACCTTTATCCGTTTATCCGCTTTCTAGGCGTTGCTGTCATTTGGCTTCCCGGAATCGGACCGATCGGCTTAATCTCACCATAAAGAGGGAGAAGAGTTTATGTTGATTTCCTACCGAAGGAGGCCTATCTGCTCGGGCTTGGGAGAAACGTAGTTTGTTGAGAAACTTTGCCTTCAACGACTGGATGTCAACTCTTACGAAATGCTCCGACCAGCAACATTTGGTTCGTCGAGTATACGGTGCATTTTGACCGTTGACATCCTGCAATTGTAAGAAGAATACAGTGTGCTGTTCGAATGGAAGAAGGTGCGTGGGAGGCCTTGTACCTTATAAAGGGTAATCGATGCTTTGGGCAATTCTCAGAGGAAAGGTAAAACGAAGATCGGTACCTTTTAACTACTGGGAGGAAAGAAAGGTAAGATGTTTGCCAAGAAGAAGAAAAAGCCCCAGATCTCAACCCCTACCAACTTCGAACATCGAGTACACACTGGATTTGACAAGAGGGAGGGGAAATTTGTGGGATTACCTCTGCAATGGGCTTCCATTGTTGGGAATAATCAGATATTAAAATCGACCAATCGACCCTTGCCACTGGTCGATCCTAGTGAAATTACACCCACTGAAATATTGGACTTGAAGACAATCGTTCGTGGACATAACGATCCACGGATAGGTAAACCTACGACTGCTACTAAAAATACTGAAAATGGTTTACCTAAGACGAGCACCGTTGCGAGGTCTAATTCACTTCGATCGTCCAGCCCTCCACGTCTTAGACGTGACTATAGGTTAGTAATAAATTATTAATTGTGACCGTTATCGGTATTTATTTATTCTCAGTTATTAACGTCTTCCTCTCCACGTAGGAATAATGCAAATCTTCCACCGTCGGTACCCGAGGGGCAGGAAATGTCTTCTAGCCCGTGCCAAGTTCAAACGTATACAAACTTTGGGAAGCCACATGTATATCAAGACGGTGCGAGACAAAACTCACCGAGCATGCACGCGGGGCAAAATCCTAACTTTCAGACAATGATTCCAAATCTTCAGAACCTTAATCCTAACATGCAGTCATCGCCTAATCTGGTCCACCTTGGGTCAAACCCACAAAACTTGTCCCTCAACTTTCAGAATTTAAGTCCAATCCCTAATCTGCAAGGTCCGATCTCACATCCGGCAACTCCTCAGACTGCCGATCATGATTTTTATAGAATGAATCCTTCGTCAGGGGTCTCCAGTGGTCCTTATAATGGAAACACACAAGTACGTGATTTTTACTCATTAAAAAAAAAAAAAACATAATTTACTAACAATTAACGTAATGTTCTCAAAATATTGACATTTAATCATTAATTATTTCCAGACCACAAACATCGATCCTTCTCTAAGAGATCATCAGATGCCACAGAATATGTTGCTACATAAATTTCAACCGAAGAGTTCTCCGGTTGGGTCGATAGCCTCCCAAAGACCTCTGAGTCAATTAAGCTCCCATAACGTTAATAAACATTCTCAGAGTTACGAGCTATCGGAGAACCCTATGGCAATGCACCCCCACTTCCAGAAACCGATAGAGAGCTCCCAGTCGATGCATAACCTCTCAAAGTCAGCCGTCATTTCTGCCCCTGTTGGACCTGGATCTCCTACGGATCAAAATCAGAACATGAAGGCTGCGATCTCGTCTGGGAACTTGGCTGCTGGTTCTGGTTCCGGGATGAGTAATAGTTCAAATAAGCAGAACACCGAGCAGAGGCTCACTCATGAACAATTCAGAGCTGCTTTACAAATGGTCGTAAGTATCATTTAAGAATAACCTAAGCATGCAAAACATAAATAAATAATAATAGGTTATGAGAAAATTCTTTATTCTAGGTAAGTCGTGGAGACCCTCGAGAGAATTTGGAGAATTTTGTGAAGATTGGGGAAGGCAGCACAGGAACCGTTTGTATAGCCACCGATAAAAATACAAACCGTCAGGTAGCTGTTAAGAAGATGGATCTTCGTAAGCAACAGAGGCGGGAGCTTCTTTTCAACGAAGTTGTCATTATGAGGGATTACCACCATCCGAATATTGTCGAGATGTACGACAGCTTTTTAGTAGACGACGAGTTGTGGGTCGTTATGGAGTACCTGGAAGGTGGAGCTCTGACGGACATAGTGACGCATTCGCGAATGGACGAGAGCCAGATCGCAACGGTTTGTTCGCAATGTTTGAAACCGCTCGCCTATTTGCACTCTCAAGGAGTTATTCACAGGGACATTAAGTCCGATTCGATTCTTCTTACCGCGGACGGTAGAGTGAAGCTGTCAGACTTTGGGTTCTGTGCCCAGGTATCGCAGGAACTGCCCAAAAGGAAATCACTCGTGGGGACGCCATATTGGATGAGTCCAGAAGTTATATCTAGGTAACGTACTAATTATCAACGAAGATATACTCAATGATTAAATTACCAAGGTAAATAACAAATCTACCTGGAATTTCAGGTTACCCTACGGTCCAGAAGTTGATATTTGGTCGCTGGGAATAATGATCATCGAGATGGTCGACGGAGAGCCACCGTTCTTCAACGAACCGCCCCTTCAAGCCATGCGTCGCATCAGAGACATGCCACCGCCTAAGTTAAAGAACTCACAAAAAGTAGGAATCCGAATATGTACCTGATTAATGAGTGCCTCGAGTTATGAAATTCTTTGTCTCCGCTTCTTGGCTATTGCTTACAAAACATTTATCTCAATTTCTAGGTCAGTCCACGGCTCCAAGGCTTTCTGGAGAGAATGTTGGTTCGCGATCCCGCACAGAGAGCTACTGCCGCGGAGTTACTGCAACATCCATTCCTAAGACAAGCCCAGAGTCCGAGTATATTGATACCTTTAATGCGAGGTGCCAGGCATACTAATTGCTAACGTCCGATCGAGGAAGATTACCGATTTCGACGATGAACTGAAATAACGTGTCCACGGTCGGCGGTTCGTAACGCATTAGTTCGACGAATCGCCGTTGGGCGTTACTGATTAATTTTAACGAGGGCGTTGTTTCCGAACTCCGCCCTATACCGCAACTTTGCATTCCGATCTAAACCTGTCAGTATGTAATTTTAGCGTTTTACAATGCACGATCTGAATTAGGAGTACAATGCGGACCATAATTCCATTTATGACCGTGTTAAATGACCGTCCGAGGAACATTATCAACGTACGTTTAACCAGCGGTGTCGGAAGCATGTAAAACTGTAACGCGCTTCAAACCTGTCTGTAGAGATATTTCGTAGAGACATAAAAGGTTGCAATAATCTACCGAAAATTACCGACACGGGGGAAAGAAATGTATCCGATACAGGTAATTGCACGTTGCATAATGTTTTGTCGATTATTATAATCTAAGTGCCTTGACAAACTCGAGATGGGGGGATGGCAGCGATATTTTTAAAGGAGATGTATATAAATATAGAGTCATACTACAGTTATCCGAATCACTGGTTCGCCATTTCTGTTTTAAATTAGGAGCGTGCCAAGCCTGAGAGATTGTCAACCGACGCGTAGAGAGATGCCACGTTTCGTGATTCCGTTCTTTTTTCTTTTTTTTTCTTCCTGGGCGAATACAAATTTGTATATCAGTATTCTTTAGGCAGCTAGCATCGGTCGAATCTTCTGACGATCTACCAAAGTAAGCGCGGTGTATAGAATGTCCGATACTTTCGACGAGCAAATAAGTTTAGCCGTAGAAATTTTCGACGTATCACTTAAGCTTTAGTTTAACGATCAGGGTTTAAGTTCATCCATTGCGCGATTAACCTTATCCTTACGGGCGGCTAGCACTTTTACTTGACAGTCCTCCCAATTAACAAGAGCATCGGTGTAGAGATTTAAAAGCTGTACGTCGAAAACCTGTTTCTGTACTTACTGCGAACATTATGTATGAAAGGATTCATTTAATACATTACATTATACAAAGTATTTCAGAACGGTAATTTGCGCAATCGCTGAGTGTTTGAACATAAAATAGAGGTTCTGCCATAACCACGGAGTATCGGTAATCGTCGCGAAAGACTTCTAGTACCTGTAAAGTCCAGGAGATGGCGTTGCCATTGACATTCGATTCCCTCCCTTTCAAGCGCTCGTTTCGAATGCTCCTCCCGCGTATTCAAGCCTTTATCAACATGTAAAAGGAAAAAAAAAGAAATTACCGTGCACTCGTGCATTTGTTTAGTCCTGACTTATCGCGTATCGCACTATTTATCGTATCGTAGACGACAATTGCCGGAACTACTTAGAGTATCTACGGATAGATATAAAATAAAACGCATCGGTCGAACTACTTAGAAATTCGAGCGGCCGACAATTTTTCAAGGAACTTTTAAAAGTGCACATCTAAGACTCTCTCTTGAATGGCATTAAAAAATGTGCGAATGTCGAACGGACAAACGAGAGGAAATCATTCTACCCGCCTCTTTTCAATTGACTGACATTAACAGTAGCAAAGAGGTCGACCCGGAGGCGAGGCGTCGATTGGAAAATCATGCAGTTTATTATTTTTTTTTCTTCGAGATCGAAAATATAAGCACTATCTCAATTGGCCGACATTATCAGTCACAATAGGTCGATCGGAGGTGAGGAATCAATTGGAGGATGTTCAGGAACGGAGGGATGCGGACGCGGTCGTCTCGATCCGCATCCATCCGCCCGTGCGCAATTCCGCGTCCGTTGTGCGTATTTCGATTAGACATTTACAATTTTTTCAACATTTTCAACGGGACATTACGGCAGCCGCGATTGCGCCTTGCGCAATGTACCACGGTTGGCAACATAAGGAATAAAATGAGTTTAAGGTCGGATTACTGTTCGACGAGCGGACGCGCCGCTACAAAATGCTCGTTCATTATTATTGACTCCTTGCGGTTCGATTTAATTATGAAAGATTTTGCAACAAAGCACCGTTTAATTTTGGTTAGTTAACTATTGTCCTAACATTTTCGTGTCTCATATTAGAGCCTCCAATAATTGGAGGTCGATCGAATGATGTGAGCTCGACGGCATTTTGGTGTTGGGTTGGGCCGTTAAAAAAAATCTTGTGAAAAATCCAAATTTTGAAAGTGTTAGGATAATTTCTAGGCGCTCGCAAATTGTGTCAAAGTTTCGGACGGTTCGATCCAATGCTCTTAAAAAACAGTGTCTTATTCGAGTCGAGTAAATTCAGGGGGTTTCACTTCATCTTAAGTTAGTAAAAAAAAAAGAAATAAAAATCTCTCGGGGGAGCCGGAAAGAAAGACTGCGAAAAACGCGAGGCAATGTCGGCAGGCGGTTCGTTCGCCTCCGGAGGCTCGCGTAAATCGGGCTTAAGCTCGAAGTCCTGCAACAAAATGATGCAAGGAAGACGGGGTATGGCCGTGCACGCAACGCCTCGCCGGCCAATCGGACACGAGCGGCGAGTCGAGCCCACTCCGAGCGGTAGCCTTGCTCGACTCGTGGAAGCAAAAACCGTGGAAAGGTATTTACTACCACGCGTGCAGCCGGTTTTACGATCGCCTACGTGTGGTCTCCGGTTAATCGCGAATTTGCCTTTCGCCGAGCGGGCGAACCCGATACTCTTTATCACCGTTAATATACCTCAAACCCGATGTAGTGCGAGAGAAAAATCGCCCGACGTATGTTTACGCCGTCTCCATACCTATAAATCGAATTTAACTAAACCAGGCGAACAAAGTGCCTGCCGATGCACCGGAGTTGGGAAATCCCGCTTCTCGAGCACGGCGTACAATTATCATTCCAGAGTTAATGGAACCGAGGAGGCCGCAAGTGTGGATATAGTTCTTGTCGCGACGGTCCGTTTCCGGGACGGCGAAACCTCCTTTCAAACGGGGCCACCTTTACCCGCGCAATTCCTTTCTCGTGGAATCGGCTGATCTCGGAAATTTCGCCTCGCCGACGATTCGGCACGATTGGTCGCGTCACGCCTGCGGGAATTCCTCGAGCGGACTTTACACCTTACACCTCGACCGCGGGACGGGGGCGTTACACCCATGACGACACCTCTCGAAACGTTTTCGCTATCTGGTCGATGATGAGTGCGTCACTTTTAGCCCCGATTGCGTAATTCTTTCCGTTTCCTTTCGCCCGAGCCTTCCCGTCCCTCGGTCCTACCCGTATACCTGCGCTTAACCCATACCAAGCAAGGCCGATGTGTCCGTGTGTCTTACACTGCTATAGGTCCCGCGGTGTCCGTCGCCGTCTTACCACTACTACTTCCAACGGGTGCTTGCCGCGTCCTACTACGCCACTTCCACTCCCTGTCCGTGCCTCACTACTACTACCACTTCACTACCGAGCGCGCCTACTCGACCCGCATGCCTGCACCAAGGCACATACGTACACCGACACGACACATCGACCATGCCCGCATCGCGGCCGAGCCGGGCACACACGGGCGCCACGCACACTAATCCACTAGCCTCGGGTATCCTCGTGTCTACACACCACTAAGCGAAGGCGTAGTCGTTGAACCGGTTGGCGGTCGGCGCGGCCCTCGTTCCCGGCTGTTCCGAGTGACCGTTAGCGATAAAAGTCGTGACGCGAGGAGGCAGGGCGGCTTCTCGGGCGCCGATTGGTAGAGCCGAGCCTCGCCTCCAAGAGAGAACGTGACGCGATGACCTTCGGACGAGGCGCGTCACCGCTACGTGCCGATAATCGCGTGCGTCGCGCCTCTCTACACGGCCCAACCCCTCTGCGGATCGGCGATTTTCTCCACGAGGTTGCATCAGCGGGTCCGATTAATCCCGCCGGCGTGTCGACCCCGTCTTCGCGGAAATCGCGTCTCGTTGCCACGCGCCCGGGATGACAAGAAGCGGGTAGAAATTATAACATTTACTGCTCTGAAAACAAAAACCGGTTGCACCAAAGTTCAAGTTAAAATCCTTAATGAAGTATTGTCTAACGCGTGATCAGTGTTAACCGACTTCAGGTTACCAAACGATGGATTTTAGACTCCGGTTAGCTTCATTTCTGACGGTGCAGCGGGAATGGCAGGATTTCCGGATGAACTAATCACAGCTATAGAATTTCAGGCTAATCACGGTTGGTGCAAACGGCCCTAAGTGTAAGATATCTACATTGTGCATCTCTGAGAGAATATATAAACGGGGAACTTGGGCAGGCTGGGTGTCCGACCTCGACCCGGTGACCCGTTTTCCAGGCGGCGATTTAGCGAGTCCTGCCTCTCGAGGATGCGATTCATGTTCCCGGGCATGTGTGCGGCATTTCCACGACGAAGTTTTCCAGCTATCGAGCTTCCAGGGTACGGTCAACGGGGCGAAAAAAGGAATCCAGAGGAGAAGAGGAGCTGGAGGAAGATCGAAGAAAGGAAACCGGGAGAAGAACGCGAGGAGGATGGAGTCTCGTGGGGGAGATCGGCGCTCGGTAGTTTTCCGCTCCTTTCCCGGAGACGACTACTTCCCCATCCGCTGGATAGACCACTCTTGCTGGCAAAGTGGACACCGATTGTTCTGCTTCACCCACAGCGACATGCAGCAGTAATGGAAGGAATGATTGCACTCCCCCCAGACGACCACGCAGTCTTGCCGCTCGTACAGGTCCTTCTTGCTCTCGGCCTGGCAACGCAGGCAGGCGTCTGTAAATGGAAAATCTTCTGTCAGAAATTCTGAACATTAAGAATAAACCTACACCTCCTGTCCATTTCTCCTAGTTCCCCGGATTTCCTCCTAGTTTCTTTTGATTTCTCCCCCCCCCCCCCCGGTTTATCGCGACCTTACGAGTCGATCGACGCCGTGACGAGGCAAACATGACGCGGTCCATTAAGCGGTGACTTCCAGTAAAATTCCGCTGGCTCGTTTAACGATCCAGTGCCCCCAGCCGGTGACGGACTCTAGCCTCGTGTGACGACTTTGAGCGCCATTTGCTCTGATTGGCAAAACTTCCATCCCGATGGGCCATCGCACACCCGAGAGTCCTATCCATTTCATTCGACTCGGGCGGTTGATAGCCTTGATTGGCGGAACTTTCGTTCTACACGGACACCAAACGCCGTGCCTATTTCGTTTAACCCCTCGGTCGCACTCGACGACGCCGGGAGTCGTCACGCGGCGCCTTTTTATTGGCCTCGCTGAAAGGGGCAGGAATGGAAGCGGACATAAATATTAATCGAGCGACCCGGCGCCTCCCCGGGAGAGACTTTCATCAGACCGTAATCCGATAACCTCGATTATTTCGCTACATCCGCGAGGACCATCGCCCCGGACGACGCCATCCCCGATCGGGATTACGTAGATTTCGAGGATGATTGCGGAGGGTCAGGGGTCCAATCGGATTTTATGCGTCATTATCCGGTCAAACGAGACCGACGGGGATTACACGGTAGACATTGAACTTCGCCGCCGTGGACGTCGGGATCGATAATCGCGTAATCGTCGAGATAGCGATAGGTCAGGTGTACGGTCGCTGGAAAGTCGAGTCATCGAAATCGGTAATCGCCCGTCGACGTCATCGATGGGTTTTTCGCCTGGATTTCGAAGGTTCGGATGATCCTTTGCGGGGTTTTACGCCTCCACGGTGGAAACGCTCGGTGGAAACGGCGTCTCGAGAGGCAGACAACGCACACGTAATCCAAAATGGCTATCAAGCCGGCTCGGATTACGCGAACGCGTGCCAGACGACGCGACTCGACTTGCTCAACGCTATCGGCGACTCGCGAAAGGACGAAAGATGCTTTCGCTAACGTTACCCTCGTCGTTTAAACCTGCGAGCTAAGCAAAAGGTGCAGAAGAGACGCCGATTGCTCATCCGCCGAGTGGGCGGCGCAAAACGAGATAATCCCGTCACGAACGTTTGCGATCGCGCCGGCAGACTTTACTTCCTCTAAAAATACCGCCGAGCCAATTGTAAGCGCACTTTTATTCTTTCCCCGCCGCAATTGTTATGCAACAATGCAGACGCAGATAGGCGCGGGGTTAACGCGATCCGAAATCAGACGTAACGACTCGTAACCTTTTCTTTCGCGTCCAGGAGAGAGACCGTTTACAAGGGGGCTAGACATCGACCCTGATCTTCGAATCGAAATCCCGCTGAGATTTTTAACACGTATGAGGCATTTTTTTTTTATCGCCAGATTATATTCTTGCAAGATCACGGCCGAGCGGCACGTATTCCCGTACGTTTTCCAATGCAAAAAGTGCATCTCTTAAACATAACCGGGGAAGTAAAGAGCCAGGGACGCGACGGTTTCACGCCCTCGACCTTGAGGGCGGAAGAGCCATGAAAAATTCATGCCACTGGCTGTTTTTTTTTTCCTATTGTCCGCCTTTTAGCGGCTTAAGAAACGCCGCGAATTGATATTCGCTGGAGATTCGAGATCCGTATCACGAGGGGGCAGAAGATTCGGATCGAGGACGATTTTCTAGAAGCTGCTTCGTGCGACCTCGCGCGATGCAGCAGAAGGTTAGGTACGATGGCGAAACTGGGAAAACGTTTTTTAACGTCGAGTCTCCTCCATTTTGGGGGTCGATATAGAATGTCGGGTCGAAACTTGGGAATTTTAATACACTAAGGAAAAAAATATTGTGTTGATTCGCGGTTTAGATTAGTGTGAATTAATTCCGTCGTGCGATGCAACAGAAGGTTAGGTATGATGGCAAAACTGGGAAAACGTTTTTTAACGTCGAGTCTCCTCCATTTTGGGGGTCGATTAGGAACGTCGGGTCGAAACTTGGGAATTTTAATACACTAAGGAAAAAAATATTGTGTTGATTCGCGGTTTAGATTAGCTTAAATTAATTCCGTCGCGCGCTGCAGCAGAAGGTTAGGTACGATGGCGAAACTGGGAAAACGTTTTTTAACGTCGAGTCTCCTCTATTTTGGGGATCGATTAGGAACGTCGGGTCGAAACTTGGGAATTTTAATACACTAAGGAAAAAAATGTTGTGTTGATTCGCGGTTTAGATTTGCTTGAATTAATTTCGTAGCGCGATGGGCGACTGGAACGTTCTCATAGCTGCCATCGACATATCGGCCAGTGGAAGAAGTCCTGGAGAATTCCACGCGAGTCTTCTCGAAGTTTCAATTCCCCGGCTGTAGTGCCGCTTATCTATCGATAAAAGGGATAAAAGTTGGAGGAACGAGGGGGTACCTGGAGGGTCTCGGCAACTCGCGAGACACTTTCGATACCTTTGCAGACTCGATCTCGATGTTTTCGGCGATCTCTACGAGCGAATTATCGAACGTTCCAGATGGAGGTTAATCGAAGGCTTCTACGCGTTGCCGGGGTATCGCCCGGTTGGTTATCGACCAATTTTTCGACGCAGCATTTCGCGTCGGGCTTTAAAGTGCGTCTCGCGAGGAGCGCCAGAATTTAATAACTATCATATGGTCCTATTAAATATATATACTAATTAGAAACCAAAAGCGTTCCTTCCGAGGAGATAGGAAACGTGTCGCAAGTTCGATCTAAGACCTTCCGGGTCACTATCGTGAAAGAAAAAAAAAGAAAGAAAAAGAAAATCCATATCGCCACGAGTCGGAGTCGCGATAGTCCATAAAAAAAATGGGTCCATAAAAAAAAAAGGAAAAGAAAAGATAAATTAGGTCAGGATTGTGCGTTAACACCCAGAAGAAACTCTCTGAAAAAATAAATGGAGGAAGTTATGAGAACAAGGTATTCGAGTTTTTTTTTTCTTTTTTTTTCTTTCCAGCGGTCGGAAGAAACATGTGTATGGAAAAATTTTAATTTTAAATAAGCAAGAAACGCCGCTCGAGGGTTAACACGGTGAGCCGGATAGAGTGTAGAGGAGTCGGTAGAGCGGCGGTATCGCGCGGGATTTTTGAATTTACAAAACGTCGATATTAGGGGCACGAGGGGGGAAAGAAAAAGGATAAAAGTTTCGCCCGAAGGCCGGCGGATTCGCGAAAGTAGAAAAAGGCCGCACGCGCGGTATAAGAAGGAGGAACGATATCTTTAAAAATAGTTTCGCGGACCGTCAAAACGACCGCCAAGTACGCCTCGGAGCCGCTCTCTTCCTCATCTTTAAATATAACCTCCTCCACGCCGATTTTCTATTTCAACCGTCGAATTTCCTCGTGATTCAAGATTCAAGGGGTGGAACCGTACCTTAAGGGGACGCGAAAGTGGCGTCAACCGTTAATGAAACATTTCTCCGAGCAGGGTATACCGAAAACTTCCAAAACCTTACGACGTGAACACGGCGGCTATAAAGAAGGTCCTGACGCCCATAAAATGTCAGTTTTTCGATACAAAGATTTGAAAAACGTCTAAATAATTAAAAATTAAATTTAACGGGGCGGTAGGACCTTCTTTATAGCCTCCGCGATCACGTCGTAAATTTTGGCGGTTCACCCAGTTCGGAGAGGTTTCATAAACGAGACCTCTCTGCCGGCACTTTCGCATCCCCCATTAAGGGGGAAAATAAAGAAACTTAAGGGGACGTGAAAGTGGCATCCGAAAGCTCAATCGTTCATAAAACTTTCCCACGAACTGGGTGTCTCAAATCGTTTCATACTTTAAAACCTGAATATGGAGACCCTAAGATAGGTCTTGAAATTCATGTTATTTAATTTTTTATAAACTATTTTTAAAATACCTATAAGCAAATTTGAAAAGAATTGAAATTTCACGAGTTTCAGGACCTCCCTTACAGTCTCCCTATTCACGTTGTAAAGTTTCAAACAATTCGGTAAACCGAGTGGGGAGAAAAGTATTATAAACGAAACCTCTCCGAGGCCACTTTCACGCCACCTTAATCGGAGGATTCCGCGGAAATTCGAGTAAGTCATAGTAGCGAGGTGTAATCGGTCCAAGGATGGACATCCTTCCAGGAAACCGTTCCCGAGGAGTCCACGTCCTCGGACACGAATTCCCTCCACTCCCACGAGGTTCTCATAAAAAGTGATTCAGCATGATTTTACTTAGAGAGGAGGAACACCCGAGAGGAAGGTTCGAGGCTACGTGTCCGGAAGCAGGTTCCAAAATCGTCCCGTGGGATTGACAAAGCGGCCTTTCCGTCGCGGTTGGACCGTCAGGGGATCCCAGTCCGCGCCGCGCCTGGATAACTGGGATACGTGCGAAAGGAAAAGCGTCGTCGCTGTTCTTTCGATCTCTGGGTACCAAAAGGGTTAACGAAGTCCGCATGCGGGGGGGGGGAGGACGTGGGGCGGCCATTCGGTCGCAGTTTGACCGGGAACCGCACGCGATTTCGCGCACGCGTTCGAACCCGCCGGCGGTTCGCCCCTCCCGTCGACGCCGCCCGCCCGGTGGGGGGCGTCGTCGCGGAGACGTCGCGTCTATATAAAAGACAAAACCCCGCGATCTGATTAGATAAGTGGCAAAGAGGCAAAGCCGTTGCAATTGATATGCACCGCGCCCGGGAGACCGGAACTTCGAGTGTTCCCCCTTGAGGTTGGACCGCAGGACCTTATCAGAGTACCTTTGGGACCGTATCGAGGTACCAGGAGGAAAGGATAAAAAGAAGCAAGACACTTCGAGTGCTCGAGAGAAAGAGCGTTCCAGGAGAAGCGCCGAGAGGATCCGGGTGTACCTACGGAGTCGCGCCGATCGCCAGGGCGCGAAGGATCCTGTCTATCGACTTTTCCGAGCCTCGCGAAAGGGGTCGGAGAGGAGAGGGTTCTCCCGAAGGGGACTGCGTAGGGTGACCTGGAAGGTCGTCCGGGCTGACGTAGCGGCCGCCAAGGTGGCGCTACCGCGGTGCGCCGCAGCATTCCCCCCTGATCGCACCCCGAATATCCGACTACTCCACCGCCTCTCTCTCTCCTCCCGAGGGAGTCTCCACGGCCGCCGCGACTCGACCGATCGTCTGTCACAACAGAACCACGTGCGTCGCCGGTCGGTCGCGCCTCCACTCCGTCAGTTCCGTATCGAAATCGTCCAGGTCGCCGTCGACGTCTTCGAGGAACCCGCCGATCTCCCGGAGAACCTCCGCCGGGACCTCCAGGACCCCGCCGCAACGCCGGGACGATGTCCTCGCAGAGGAGGCAGATGATGCAGCCATGGCCCCTCATCCTCGCGCCCTTCGGCCAGATGGTAAGCCAGGTGCGGGAGGTGCGCCTCCGCGCGGAAAGGCGACTGAGACGACCGGGTCCCTGCGCGCTGCGCGGTCCGTCCTGCGTCTCTCTCGCGCGCAGGCGCCGCGGTATGCCGTGTCTCTCTCGCCGGCTCGATCCGGGTTTCTGGAAAGTTCCACGCCTGCCCGTCGCCGAGCCACGAGCGCCGACGTGCCGGTCCGCCGAGAGAGACGGAGCGACGCGTCGCCCGCGCGCCCGAGAGAGACCGACGACCGGCTCGCCTGACAACGCGGCTCCTCCTCCGCCCCGAACCGGCCTCCTCGATCTCTCGCCCCCGATTTCGATTCCTCCTGACAAAGACAACTAACAATACGAGAATAATTCACGGAAAAGCGTCCCTAACCTCGGGTACTATTTTATACGCGATGCGATGATAGTGCTTCGATCCCGCCGAAGTAATTCCAAGTTCCGAGCCTGGCTTTTAATAAGGATTAGGATATCCGCGGGAAACCGGGAAATTTAACGCTCGGGGGGATTCTAACCTCTCCTCGGTTCGACGTTAACGTTACGTTTGCGAAACCGAGCCGTGACCTCTTATCATGCGCGTGTTTAAATATTTTGGCCCAGTTCTCGGTCACCCCGCGACGGCTTGTGGATATCGCGATATCGATACACGCGCCGTCGAATTAATTGTACACATTCGATTTCGCAGCCCTCGGGGTCGGAACTGTGTACGGTCCGTGCCTTCGGAAGGTCTCTAACGCGCTCACACGTGATTTAATCCACGAGCGTGCGCGATACGTGACGTCCGCGAGTCTCCTAAATATAGCCCGAGAAACACCTGTTGAGGCGGTCGGGATTTCGTCTTGGAGATTTTTCCCTTTTTTCTTTTTTTTCCCTTTTCCTTCTCATCCCCTTTTAAACAATCGTCACTCGGGGCTCGGGAGTCATTTTCGCGATTATCGGACGCGGGACGAGAAGGCCGTTTCCGGGGCCCGGAGGATCCGCAGCCGTTAATTCGCCGACCAGTCTAACATGGTACGTGTCAAGCGGGAAGCGCCTCCACCTTCTGTCGATTGAATTTTCGAGAGGATTCTGGGACCTCTCGGAATGTCCGATCTCGGAGTTATGTCACGTTAATCGAGCCGATGCACGAACTCGATGATACGCCTGCGCGGGGGGACACCACGAGGCTTTGAGGATGAATTTGTTTACGTGAGAGATTCCTCTACCGGGGAAGACAAAGGTCCATCCAGGCCGATTTTAATGGACACGGGCACGTAGCGAGTCGTGTCAGAAGTCACGACTCCTGTCCTCGCTTCGCGATTGGGCACGATCGACGAGCTAACTCCCGACTCGAAATCGAGTCGAATTTTTGTTTCCGCCGGGAAATTCGTCTCCCGGGGAAGAGGAAGCCTCGACGTGGTGGAAACGCGGAAATTCTACGTGTTTGGCTTACTTGGGAAATTGGACAAATTCGACAAATACGGCTTATTCAGGAAATTCTACAAATTTGGCTTATTCAGGAAATTCGACAAATATGGCTTATTAAGGAAATTCGACAAATTCGAGAAATTTGGCTTATTCAGGAAATTCGACAAATTCGAGGAATTTGGCTTATTCAGGAAATTCGAGAAATTTGGCTGATTCAGGAAATTCGACAATTTCGAGAAATTTGGCTTATTCAGGAAATTCGACAAATTCGAGAAATTCGGCTTATTCAGGAAATTCGACAAATTCGGCTTATTCGGGATATACGACAAATTCGATTTATTCGAGACATTCGACTTTTTAGGAAAATTCGAGAAATTCGACTTATTAGGGAAATTCGAGAAATTCGACTTATACAGGAAATTGGATAAATTCAGCTTATCCAGGAAATTCGACAAATTAGACCGGCCGTTTAGCGCCTGATAAAGAAATATCAAGCGAGCACGTCACTGATAGGCAAAGTAGTTACACGAAGCCCGGTCAAGTAAATTGCGCCGCCGCGTCCGGAAAATCGGCACCGTCGAGCCGGATCGGAATTCCCGGACGGACTGCGCTCTTCTACGGACGATTCCTCCCCCACGAGGTGTCGGATCGAGATTACCGAGATGAGAATTTCCCTACGAGGACAATAAGCAACGCCAATTGGCGCGGGAAAGATGAAAATAACGAGGAAAACTCTCGGCAGATCCAGCGGAGACGATAAACTCGCCGCGTTATCGCGACCTTGCTCGCTAGCCTACTTCGATACGTCGTATAACAATTATCGGCATCACCCTGGGGTCTCGATTTTCTTCGATCGTACATTTCCATTAGCATTTATTTATTAACGCGCCCCGGAAAGATCGAAAGTCGATTGGCATCGGGAAGACCGCGCGGCCTCTCCTTTTGTCCTGCGTCGACGTAAAAAGGGCAATTACGTGTCGGGTTAAGTAAACCGACGGGAAAAAAAAAAAAAAAATATGGAATTCGTCAACGATCTCGCGAACGAGCAAAAACCCGCGCGATTGTTCTCGCTATCCTCCAGCGAGAAGCAGGGTCCGGAAAACGCGACTGGATTACTTCCCGAATGCAATTGCGCTGGGGAAAAAAAAAGGGTAATTACTTCCTGCCTGAAAAAAAAAAATGTTGACGAGGTAACAGCCCGAGCGGAGATTTTTTCGACGAGATTTCAAGGGGTTGCGTTTTAGAGAGGACTCGAACCGTGAACGACTATTTGCATTCATTGATATCTATCGATTGACTCATCTTGCTGTGTACATTGGCGATGCCACGTGGCGGGCGCGTGATAAGCCTAGTCTACGGAGGATAACCTCAAAATTGTCCGCAGGGTGCACCGAGTTTGGCGTAATGGAAAACGCGGGGTAATGAGAAAAAAAAAAACAAGAGCGATGAACGACGAAGTCGTTTTACGAGCGCCGCAGGAATGCGGAATGTAATTGCGGAAAATCGTAATGACACTTCGCGAAAAGGAAAAAAAATATATATTGAAATTCGTCGGTTCCACGTCGAGCGGGGACAGGATAAGGGGTTGCGTTTCAGAGAGGATTCGAACCGTGAACGACTATTTGCATTCATCGATATCGACGGATTGACTCATCTGGCTGTGCATATTGACGAAGCCTCGTGGAGGACGCGTGATAAGCCTAGTCGCCGGTGGATAACCTCAAAATTGTCCGTAGGGCGCACCGAGCTTGGCGTATTGAAAAACGCGGGATAATGAGAAAAACGGGAAGGACGAACGGCGGGGTCGTTTTACGAACACCGCTCTCAGGATACGAGGATGCAATTGCGGAAAATCGTAATCACCCTCCGCGGAAACGAAAATCTCAACTCGGCGTCGGGAGGGCACGCGACGTTTTACTACGAGGTCGGACAGTCGGAAACGAGTGTCGGCGTTTAGGAATATGTACCAACGCCGATTCATTGAATAACGTCGGAGCCGGTGTATCAGGAATAAGCAGAACTCAAAGTTTAGTCGTAAAGTTCAGGGAGGTTATCGCGCCAACGGGGGCTAAAAGTCATGCGATCACTCGGCGAGCATCACGCACCGTTCCTTCTCCCATTGGCCGGTTCGGTAATCGTTTTGCTTCCCAACACCATTTTGATAAACCGACGGGAGGCCGTGTATAAATACGTGGGACATTGTCAATTCATCCCCTCGGATGTGCTCGTTGTGCCGTTAGTTTGGACTGGACTATCGGGTGCTCGTCTCCATCGGTCCAGCTAAGAGTACCCTCGATAACCGCGGACGGTTTCCGGCTTCCGGTGGTCGCATCTTCGCTCGCTTAGATATCTCTTCCCGTCTAAACGAGGTAACAACGAAAGTGCGTTAAAAGAAAAAAAAAAGAAAAAAAAAACACTGGGTCGAGGTATTTCTGCCCGTTTGTCGGAACTCCATCGATCGCGCCCACGCGGTCTGGTCGCGGGTCTTTCGCGTTCCTATGGAGAGAGAAGTCCTTCGGTTTTGCGAGTATTCCAAGAGGGGAAACTCGCGTTTGCGAGTACCTCACGAGAGGAACTCGCCAGCAAATCGTAGAAACAGCCTTCCCCCGTATCCGAGTCGAGTCGAGAGTAGTGCGAAAACTCGTTTGATAATGCAATTAAGATTCTATCGTTCGAAAAAATGTGCTCACCGTCAGTGGTCCCAATTTCGCTCTCTCGCGAAACAGCTGCGCAATCGATTATCGCCATCGCCCGAGTAAATCCGAGCCCAGGAGGAGTTAGGGCAAAATAATCGGAGCCCACGGGAGAGAGAACGGGATCGTTGCGACTCCTTCCAGGAGCACATCGTTGGATCCCTTTCACTTCGCAAAATTCGGAAAGATCACCCCGTTGCTCTAGGTGCGATTTCTCGAGAGACGCAAAAAAGGGACAGGGGATCGCGCCTCCTAAGTAGCTCGTTAATTCGAGCACATACGCGACTCGAGTCTCCCATTAAGGCGTCGAAGTTGGAGGAGAGTCTTAACGAGAGGCATTATCTCGGCGATAACGAGACGGCGAACGGCGGAGAGGCCATAAACAATGAGAAGTAATGCCTCCTCTCTCGTTCCAAGTCGTCCCAACCCCGTGAAGTCCGCCTATCGGCCCGATATAACCGGTAATAACCGAACGATATTTACGAGCTAGACCTCGCGAAACCCGCGAAGATTATACTCTCGAGTGTCCATTTTGTCAGGACCCTCGATATCGACTCGGATAATCGCAATCGACATTTTTGGGCGAACCATAGATTTTGTCACTTTCGAGATCCTATATTTCTCGGTGTCTTATATTAACGCCTATCGATAGGCAACCCGATCAGCTCGCTCAACGAGCGATATGCAACCCTCGCCGCGTTAAACGAATGCAAGTCGGTGCAGCTGCATAGGATATGTCTGAAAGTGCATGCCGATAGCTAGTAGAAACGTCGGCGTTAGATCAGACGCTGGGCGGGTTGCGTAGCAACAGGGGACCGGCGTCTATTTCTCTCCCGAAGATGAGACGCGTCGCAAGATGGGGTAGGGTTAATAATAAAAGGGAGTCCTTTTCCCAGAGTGTTGCCTCGACTTAACCATACTTTTTGCCTGTCCCAGGAGCGAGCAAATGGGCCGAAGTATTACACGAGGGTGTCGCCGGTCGGGAAGCTAACGGGCACGAGTTCGAGCCTGGCTTCGGACTGCGCCTCCAGCACGACTTTGGAAACGAATGCGAGTCCCTTCAACAGCCAGTGCACCCTCATATCGGAGAAGAAGAGCTCCTCGGGCCAGACCAACCCCACCGGCAAGAGCAAGAACAACTCGAGCCCCAACCACTACTATGCGGAGAACCTGAGGAACAACCACTACAGGCACCAACAGTCGCTGAACAAGGCCGCTATCTACAACCCCTTGATACCCGGCCTGGACGCGGATTACAAGCAGCTGGATCCGCTGCTGGACCCCGAGATTCAAAGAGCCAAAGCCGTCCCCATGGACTCCCAGGAGCTCAAACAGAAGTCCTCCGGCTCGGTCAGGCTGACCACCTGCCAGTTCCAGGAGGAGAAGAGGTCCAATCGATGTTTCTACTTGAAACAGGTGAGTGCTCGATGGTCTTCGCACTTTTAGGCATATTCTTCCCACGTTTTGGCGGCTTTTTGCCAAAGAGGCTCGTCGATGACGGTTCTCCACGGTTCCTTGGTATTCCTGAGAATCTTTCGACCTCGTGGAGACGTTGACGAGATTTCGCGGCCGAGGTGGTCTTTGGAATGACGATTGATCGCGGTGGAGGTCGATCTTTCCTGTGCAGCTCGGTACCGATGGAGTCTCCGGGAACGCGCCGAACCTGCGGCCTCCACTTATCGTCCCCCTCCCTAGAGGGATCTCTTTTTCTCCCTTTATTTTTATGCACATCGTTCTTTCGTCGATATTCTCCCCCGTTATGGTGCTACTCTCTGCACGTACTTCTCCAACTGGACTGTGCAAATTTTTCGACTATTCCGAGAGGACTTCTTTTCATTCAGGTCCTCTTCATTTTCGGTTCGCCGCGCAACCTTGCGTTGCGACGCGAGGGCTTGCTTTCGTTTTCCTATTCTTCCTCTTTTTTTATATATCCCTTCCTCTCCCTGGTTCATGTCTTCGTTCTTCGCGTAGAAAGTTACCAGCACTTGAGTTCTCTGCAAACGGTGCTTACCGACCGATCTATACCGTCGACTGGCTTCTCTCGATCGCCACACGAGGCGCGTCGCTCGAAGTCATTGATCACCTTTCGATATAATTTGAAGAAATTACCTGACCCGGTTTTTTTTTTCCCCCATCCACTGAGGTCAAGAAAATTGGCGAGAGCCATTACTCCTCCACTGGACATCGAGCAAGCTATATCGGATCCATTATCTTAACTTTGCCCGTTCGACGAGGCGCACCCCTTGCCGGATTAACGATCCACGGATTTCTATAGATGGTGATCTACTGATCGGGCTGCGCACTTTGCTAATTAAACCTCCACCTGAAAAGAGATGCATAAACCCCCCTGGAAATTTACGGAATGCCGATAAAGGCGATGAGGGCGGAAAGGAAAGAACCGTCGAAGATCGAAATAGCCACCTCTTCGACCTAATCAGAAAACGTTCCCTGTCGCTAAAAGCAGATAAGGAGATGCCCTAATTTTTCTAACAAATTTAGAAGATGCGACAATTGGCATTGCAATCATTTGACGAGGAAAGGGAACCACGAAGTTCAGCAAAAAGGTGGAGTGGGAGTAGGCGCGTGGCGAAACTGCTCCTGGTCAGTTTTCGCTGAGGTTCCGCTCCCACTCCGCATCCGCAAACTGGTATTCCTCTTCCCCTGCGCAATTCTTATTATTTACGCAATGGAGATAAATCAATCCTGCACATCTAACCGGGTCGAAAGAACCGGAGGAACGGTAAACAGGCACCGCGGTTAATCGCAACCGTGTACGTCAGTTTGATGTGCATGTCAATTGGCTGCAATAATGTCTCGATCCGCAAATCGGCATCGATTACCCCCAGCAACGTCATCCTGTCGAGGATGATAGAAGTCACGCGAGCAACGCATCCTCCACTCAAAGGAGAGAGAGATAGACAACTCCAAAATCGAATCTTCGAGGATTTCCAACCTGCGCTAGAAGCGAAGAACGGTTTTAAGATCGAAAAATGGCATGATTAAATTAAAAAAAAAGCGAATTAAAGGGATGACATAACCGCGCGGATGCGCAGATGGGGAAGGAGATGCATTTCGCATGCAAATGCGGCATCAGGAATGGGACACACGTCCGCGTGCTAACGCGTGTTCTTTCATTGTCCCTTACCGACTGCGGCACACCTGTGCAGGGTGCATTAATTGCATCGAGGACCTTCTCGGTCTTGCAAGCACGAAGCTGGTGCCGAGTTCCAGGGGGCCATTTTTTTTCTATACGAACTTCCAATGGACGATCTCGAAAGCTGAAGGGATTACCAAACGATTTGCTTTCAGGGCGCCGATTTCTCGGGATTAGGACGCAGGAGAGAGAGGGAGAGGAAAGTCGTTCCTTAGTTCAGGTGGAGAATCCGGAAAAGGGGTTTTCGAAGGGCGTCTCGTGCATTCCGAGGTTAGGGGGCCCCACGATTTAGGAAAACGTCCACCGGCAGAGGAAGCTCAATGCCTGGACCTTCTCTTAGGTAAGGTGTCACTTCTGGCATCTGTCGCGAAAATCCGACCTATACCTCTATGGCGACCCTAAATCGACCCACCCTGACGATATTTTCCAAGATCCAAAAGCCGACGACAGTTCTTCAAACATTCCGAGAAAGGCGCACTCGGCGTCGCGACGCCGACGACGTCACTCCCTGTCCCAACATTACGCCCGATCATACGCTGGATGCACGGTACCCGCCAATGTCTGCGAAACACCCCGGACACGTTGAATTTCTTCCCCTTTTCTCGAGACTCGAAACGTCAACTCTACGTCACGCGTTTCGCCGTGATTGCCGCGTGATCTCACTTGATAAAAAACGACGGGGGAAAAAAAATGACAAAAAAAAAATCGCACCATCTTGGAATGGAAGTCGATGGTCTTTGCGTGCATTCGTGCACCCTTGTTCAAATCCGTCTGTGTGTCGAGACAAGTCCCGTGACGTGCGACTCTAAACGCGCTCCGATACGTCCGCAGCTGTTCAAACCCTCGATCGATCGATCGGTCGTGATTTCGGAATATCGAGACATTAAAGGAATCACGCTCTGGCCACGTCGCGACGTCCCTGGCGTCACTTCCTGATTCAACAGCCGGCCGGTTAGCGAAAAAATCGTCAGACAGCTGCGCACATGGACGCAACCCCGAATTTCCCTCGTCCCTCGTTTTCGATATGAAATATTGATACAGCATCACGCGACGGCGTGTGATCGCCACGCGATCGCTCCTACCGGCGTGATCGAAGTGTGCCATTCGCTTTCGCAAGCTCTGGCGGTCCCCGACACGTGCTCGCGACCTGCTCCAAAGGAGACGTCTCCTTTGAACGCGTCTTTAAACAATTTCTACCGTCGTCCGGTAATACCGGGAAATAAATTCCGACCGAGTTTCCGCCCGAAATACGATACGCGACACCCCGAGGGCCTATTCCCTCGGAAATCCGTGAGAACGATTTCCCTCTTCGATAACCGATTGCCTCCACCTTCATATGACAAACGACAATGCGACTCGGTAAGAAGTGACGTTTTGCCTCATAAAACCCCGACGATATATATCTCGGTGATTTCCAACGACTTCTAGTAACTTTCTAGTCATCTCTCCCTTGCGATTATCCACGTGGTTTCGCGTATCTCGATTTCCCGAGTGGCACCGACCTGGGGGACGTTCCCGAGGTAAACTTGTCATCGAAGACACCGACGTTTCCAAGAGAACGGGATATGGACCAAATTGATATCTTTCCACGAGAAGGGTGTCAATTATTCGGGGCAGAGGATCGGAATTAAAGGCGCCACAGGTGCGACCTAGCTCGGTAATTCTGTGAAGAAATTATGTCACTCGGGAAACAATCGCATCGAAGGATGCGTTGGTGGGAAAAAAAAAATGATTAAAAGGAAAAAAAAAAGTGGATCGCGCGAATGCACGCGTCGCGAGCCTCGACCCTGTAAAGGCGTCCCGCGCGTGTCTTGGGCACGTATGTACACGCATGTACAGTCTTCGGATGGGGGGAACAGTGGTCGTACACCTTGCATCGTACATACGAGATGTACATACTCGGGGGACACGAAACGGCGAGTGTATGTACGATTCGTCGCCGATAGCCAAGGAGGAGGAGAGGCCGGCCCCCAACGTTGGGTCCTATATAAGAGAACTCGACGGTCCACGAGTGTCAATAGCTTATATTATTCCGTGACACCAAAAACCTTCCATTACGATCCGATTCTCGACGGCGGGCTGAATAACTAGACGGTTGCCTTCGATTTGCCAGTGCGTTGCGAAGTTATTACGGTTAAATATGAGATAAATGGTCGCGTAGGGCGGGCATCTTTTCGCGATCGGCGCTCCGACGAGGGGGACGAGATTTATATCGTATCGTGACCGGTAGATCGTCGGAGAATTCCTTTGAAAATTTCGATCGAGCTCCCGAGAGGTGATGAAAAATATCGCGGGTCGATAAGGCGTCGGCTCTTACAAGTTTCGCGTGTCCCTTCGGTGTCGGGTCTCGTGGCCACCCTCTAGAGCTTGACGCCTCATGGTGAGGCAAGTTCTTGTGAATTTCCGCAGTATGTCGATTTTTGTCCGGTAATTGGAATTAATTTATAATTGAATGCCGGTGAAGACTTTCGACCGAGTGAAGGAGTTTTCGCGTCCACGCGTGACCATCGGTGGTGAATCATTTACCTCTTAATCGTACTTTATCGTCAGGCCCGTGTTAAACGCAACGAATGCCAATGTTAACGCCGAAAGCCGACGTTCTTAACCTCTCGAAAACGCGATTATAAAAATCGAGGCCCGAGGGCCGGGTGGTTTCATTTCCTCCTCGCCGAGCGTCCCGATACGTCTGAGTCTCTGCAAACGTCTTTAACTCGTATATTCGACGTCCAAACAGATATATATATCGGGAATATATATATATATATAGAAAGAGCGGACACCTCACGGGAGGAAATAATCGTGTCGGCTACCGAGTCTACGGTCCACCGGATCGAGCGCCATGAAGATCCTCCTCAGAGCGGACACTCACATTAATTTGGAGGTTCCCGAAAACTCGCCGAAAGCGAAATGCACCTACAGTCAGGTAGAGAATCACCGATCGCCGATAATACCGCCAGTTTTCGCCCTGACCTCCTCCGATACCCCGGAACAGCCCCCCAAAAAAATTCCAATTTCGACTAATCCTATTCCATCTACTGAGATGAAAAAATTCATCGAACCCAAGAAACATTTCCTGGAATATGTACGAAATATCTCGTTAATTCCCAGAAATAATTCATTTCACTCGAATAAATTGCCACGGTCCGGAATAAACGTCGCATCCGATTTTTCCGAATTTACTTGAGTCAAATGATTATTTCTTGAATTAATTCAATATTTTCTTGGTAACGTTCAAAGAAATATTCCCCAACGGGATCCGTTTCTAGATCCATCCTAATTCGAGTTAGATCCGACGAGTTGGCTTCGATTCGAGCTAGCCGAGCCTCGGCATTTCAACGATCGCATCGAAGTGCGTTAATCGAGCCAATTGACTCGATTTAGTTAGACTAATCGGATCGTCGTTGGCGGAAATCGTCGCGTCGAGTCGAGCCTCCGACCCGTGCGCGCCATTATCCGATATTCTCGCGCGGATTGTTTCCCGCGATTAAGGGGAGAAAAAAGAAATAGAATCCTACACGTGGCATCGTTCTCGTAGTCGATCTATATATCAAATCCTGAAAATATTGATAAAACTTATCCCCAAACTGAGTGCATCGAATCATTTGAAACTTCAGCACGTGATTAGAAAGGCCCTAAGGAAGAACGTAATGCTCGTGGAATTTCATTGTTCCCAAAAAATTTCATTTTTATTTAGCTTAGACTAGAGCCATAATTACATTTTTTCTTCTCCTGTGAAAAGTGAAATTTCACGAGCATCGCGTTCTTCCTTAGGGTTTACATGATCATGTGTTGAAGTTTCAAATAAATCGGTGTATACAGTTTGGAGAAAAGTTTTATATTTTGACGTTTTATATATATATATTTATATTTTAAAACGTTTTTATATATATAGAATGACCCTTTCATATCACCTTCAACCCGTGTCGATCGTTCCTGCCTAAATCCTCCCGAAAGGACGGCACTTCTTCCTGCCGAGCAGGAAGCAGGAAACAGGAAGCAGTCCTTAGGACTCGTATTCCGATGAGTGTCACGTCCAAGGATGACTCGGAAGCGAGTCGCCTTTCGCGAATGTACAAACGAACCGGCCTTCTCTCGCTCTTGCTGGATACCAAGTCTATTGGAATAAACCGAAGGATGACCGATTTCGTTCCAGGTGTTGGCCGCCTTCTCGGTGTCGCTAGGATCGATGGTCGTCGGCTTTTCCCTGGGATACACCTCGCCGGCCCTGGTCTCGATGCGCGATCGATCCATCACCAGCTTCGAGATCACCGAGCAGACGGTAAGTCTTATTCCCGGTCGAGTGCTCCTAAACGATCCGCATTCTCGCAATTGCGATCTCAAGTCGAGTCTCGAAGGTAGTTAATTAACATTACATCTCAACATCAGCGACAATTACCGTGAATTAATTTCTAGTAAGTGAAATTCCCGTTCCGCGGAGAAAAGTTAAGTCAAACGATGATTAAAATCCATGGCTCGCCCTTCGGACGATTAGCATTAATCGCGGGTTAAGTAATCCTTGGTTAAGGATTTTATCTCGAATGTTGGAGGCGCCCAGCTCTTGGATCTCCTCCTGTCCAAGCTCCGGGAATTGATCCTCCGGAGGGCTCGATTCCCCCCTCTCGTAACGAGAACGCGCGATCCGACGACCTCGTGACGTCGACGAGGATTTTCAAGGCCAGACCCGAGGTGCCCCTTGAGGGATAATTCCGCGGATCAATCGGCGATTGGAGGCCTGACCCGAAGTGCGTCATTGGCTCGTGGTCAGAGGCGTGATGGCCTGATTCCCCATTGATTGGTTACGACCCATCGTCGCCGACCAATGGGTGCCCACTCTGGAGGCATCCTCCGTGCAAGGGGGCACGTCCACCAAGAACGTGAAATTTCGCCCCCTCTTCAAAACTGAAAACCGCAAGATGATTCATTTCCGCAAGAGCGGATTTAAAGGGTTACGAAAGCTACTCTACATATCAAACGTCAAAATATTAAAAAAAAAAAAAAAAAAAAAACTCCTCCAAACTGGGCGCACCGAATCAATTGAAACCTCGGCACGTGATTACGGAGGCCCCAAGGAAGAACGTGGTGTACGTGAAATTTCATTTTTAGACAAGTGAAATTTTATGAGGACTCATGTTCTTCCTTAGAGTCTCCATAATCGTACTCTGACGTTTCCACCGATTCGGTGCACCCACTTTAGAAAAAGGTTTAATAAATATTTTGACGTTAATATATAGAGTGACCCTTTCATATCGCCTTAACTTCTGGAACGGAACCGTGATAAGTCCACCTTCGCCGGAAGAGTCGGAGGGGCGACCTCGAGGACGGTTTCCCTCTCCGACCTCGTCCCCATAAATCGTCCGCTTACGCCACAAAGGAACCGCCGATAGGACTCGAGACGCGTGCGGATTGATCGTTAGATCCTTAATATTAAATTCTGATAAAATTATGATTAATTAATAATTCCATTTCAGGGATCCTGGGTAGGTGGAATAATGCCTCTGAGTGCGCTCTTCGGCGGCATCGCCGGAGGGCCGAGCATCGAGTACTTCGGCAGGAGGAACACGATCCTGGCCACGGCGTTCCCCTTCATAACAGGTAAGGATTACACGATCGACAGACAGAAAATAACTTATAGTGCACATATAATCCAACATATACCAGTGCAATGTCGTAACGACGTTACAACATTGCACTTACTCCCGGGGATTTCGCAAATCGCCGACCTTCGCGAGCTGTTTCGGGTTTACTCGACGACAACGAGGCACTTCCTATTGAGCGATCGTTACGGGCGTTAATCTCGATCCGGAAGTTAACCGGAGTTTAGCGGCCCCGATTAGGAGGGCGGCGAGGACCTCGTCTCGAAGGACTGCCTCGATCGTCCTCGTGCCTGGAATTTCCTCGGCTCTTTCGTTGGATTATCACTAATCCTCGCGTTTTTCCCCCGATCCGAGGTAATCTCGCGCTGTTAAAACCGGGGAAAAAAAATAAACCGTGCATATATCATCGGGTGGGGGGGGAAGTTAAAGGATAAAATGCTTAACGAGCGCCATGAACAATCTTCCGGGACACTTAATGCCGGGCGGCGTTATCCCCTGGGCGTAATGCATGCAAACGGCGGAGCAAATAATAAATGAGCCGGGAAATAAATATTAACGGGGAGGGAAGGGAAGATAAGAAAAAAAGAAAAGAAAAAAAAAAAAAGAAAAACACCCGAGAAGCAGGATTACTACTTCCTCGCCGCGATGTCGTAACCGCGCGCCGGGAAATCTAACGACGGCGTAATTGGCCGAGGGGAACAAAAAAAGGAGAAAAAAAATTAATAAATAGAGCCGAGGAATTATTCCGCGATTCCGGCGAGTTGGAGGGCGCGAGAGTTGAGGTCTTTACGAGATGACGATTGCAGCCTGGCTACTGATCGCGATGGCCCAGAATATCGAGATGCTTCTGATCGGCCGAGCCCTGAGCGGATTCTGCGTGGGGATCGCATCCCTATCGCTGCCCGTCTATCTTGGGGAGACCGTCCAACCGGAAGTAAGAGGGATGCTGGGACTCCTTCCGACAACCTTCGGTAACATCGGTAAGAATCCGCTAACGATCATAGATAACTCAAGGTCCCGAACGAGAGTCCATCCTACTCTCCTACCTTGGAAAAAAAAAAAAAAAAAAAAAAGAAAAAATTCATTGGACCGTAGAAATGTTTCTTTGAACAGTGCCAAAGAAGTATCTTGTCAATTCAATGAATCGACTGGGATTCGAATGAACGCGTCAATTAGTGTCCACTCGAGTGAAATGATTGTTCTTTGAATTAACGAGATATACTTCTTGGTTTTCTTCCCTCTGAGTGAAAATCGACCCTCACGGGACCTCATTGCTTTCCAGGAATCCTCCTGGTGTTCTCGACCGGGATGGTAATGAACTGGTCGAACCTCGCCCTGTTGGGTGCCTGCATCCCGATACCGTTCCTGGTCCTGATGTTCCTGATCCCGGAGACCCCGAGATGGTACATCTCCAAAGGGAAGACCAACCGCGCCCGGAAGGCGCTGCAGTGGCTCAGGAGCAAAGGATCCGACGTGACGGAGGAGCTTACGGAGATCGAGAACGCGCACATCGCCAGCGAGAGGATCGTCTCCGAGAACTCGTTCATGAGCCTCTTCCAGGGAAAGAACATGAAGCCTCTGTGCATCTCGCTAGGGCTGATGTTCTTCCAGCAGACGTCGGGCATCAACGCGGTCATCTTCTACACGGTGACGATCTTCAAGGTAAGAAGCCCCTCTTCCGGGAGGTAAACCTCTAAGTCTCTATAGTCCCTTCACTGGGTGGACGGTGATAATCGTCGGGTGTCGTCTTCCCCAGGACGCCGGGAGCACGATCGACGGATACGTCGGGACGATCCTCGTCGGGGTGATGAACTTCGTGGCGACGTTCATCGCGACCGCCCTGATCGACCGTCTAGGTCGGAAAATCCTGCTTTACGCCAGCAGCGTGGCGATGATCATCACCCTGACGACCCTGGGGATCTTCTTCTACCTGAAGAGCAGCGGCCACGACGTGACGCACATCGGCTGGCTGCCTCTGGCGTGCCTGATCGTCTACGCCCTGGGCTTCTCCCTGGGAATGGGTCCCATCCCCTGGCTGATGATGGGCGAGATTCTGCCGGCCAAGATCAGAGGATCCGCGGCCAGCGTGGCCACGGGCTTCAACTGGTCCTGCACCTTCATCGTGACGAAGACCTTCAGCGACCTGAACATCCTCCTGGGCAGCCACGGGGCCTTCTGGATCTTCGCGCTGATGGTTACCCTGGGCCTCGTCTTCACCGTGGTCTTCGTCCCGGAGACCAGCGGCAGGTCCCTCGAGGAGATCGAGAAGAAGTTCGCGGGTCCGGTAAGGAGGACCAGCGCGGTCGCGAACATGAAGACGATGCCCTCGGTCTCCTAGACGGCGAGGCTCTCCTCGCTCCAGGGTGCAGCTAGAGGCTTCTACCCGGCGCCGAGGTGCTCCCCTCGGAGGCCCTTGGACTCCCGGGTCCGAGCCCAGGATTCTCATCTCCGAGGTCGAAGGAGCCGGTGCCGGGACGGGAAAGGCGAAGAGAAGATCCCGCAGTAGGGCCGGGGCCATCGCGACTGGTGCTCCTCGTCGGCGGACTAGTCCGGACTCCGTCGACCCGTTCCTTCGATGGCCCCGCCCTGGGGTATCTTTATTTATTTTTATGGAACGCGAGGAATTGCCGTCCGATGTATATTTATACGGGAAGGGGCTCTCCAGGACTCGAGCCTCGTGGCCGATCGGTGACGAATTCCGCGGTCGCTCGCCTCCTGGGGGAACGCGACCCGCAACGGCTAGAGAAGACAGGCTATAGTAGACTTACACGGATTAGTAGACTCGTTTTTTAGTGCACTAGGAAGCTCAATATCTCCTGGCGGTTCCTCGATAGCCGAAGGGCTCACAAACGTTGACGACTTGCTCAAACGAGGGAGCTGGAACCAGGGGGAGGGAAATCCCGTGGGGTAGGTTCGGAACGTCCCGTGGGTATTATCAGCAAACATGGTATATATATGCCCAGGTTTTCAGAAAAATCAACGTAATGGAAATGTCCACGGGACGTTTCAAATCGGTAATACGATTTCTCGGGACACCGGTGCCTTAGCGCTTCGGTGCACCTGACGCGATGTACTTGGCGCGAAACTCTGCCGAGCCTTTCGGCAGGGGGCGAGGATATCTCGAGTTTTCTGCGAGCTGGGAATTTTATGGGAGCGTTTTGTAGAGGCCACGCGATGATAGGCGATTACCGTTGACTAGGTGTATAGTTTTATCCGTTTCCCTTGATCGACGATCCTCCTTCAATCTACCTCAAGCCGATGAACGAAAGGACGGAAAGGAAACGGAGGCGTTAGAGCTCGTGCGTTATTTTAAACGGGCACGTTTCTCGAGTATTAACGGCTATGCATTATTTAGGTACGCGTTGGTTACGGACCGTTTCAACTGTCGAACAATTCGGTGCTCGTAAATGCGACGTTAGATAATTTTTTGGCGAACATCGCGCAAACCGCGGGAAATAATCGTAGATCTCTAGGGAAGCTCTTATCTTATCGTGTACATTTCCCTTTTCTTTTTCAAAGAGGCGATCGGATATCCGATCTTTCGAAAATCGTTCTCCCGCTTGGGATCAAATTCGTTAAAAGGGACGTCGGGTTGGACTTTGCGATTTTTTCGCGGCTAATTGCTCGACAAACGATCCGACTGCCTGATTGACTCGTTTCCTTTGTTCTTTCCACCGGAATTGCGGTATCTTTGGAAAAAATTCCCGCGGACAATTTAGCGACAGTCGAGAGATGGCGAGGAATTCAGATACTTTGGTCTCCTTTTTCACGGTCGATCTTAGAAAGTACGATGTGTAAAGTGCCGAAAGCTCAGGCTCTGTACAGGGAAAATTAGATTTTGGAATCGTACGTGTACGCGAAGGAAGAAAAAAAAAAAAAAAGAGGGCTGGTGAAGAAAAGTCAATTCAGGAGATACTTGAAGTGGCTAATCTGAGAGTTCGAGAGATTCCATAGTTTCCGTTATGCCGAGAATTCCTTGATTGTCGCCAGCCCCGTGAAAATATCACACATATCAAGATTTATATCGGCGTTTAAGGATTTTTAATGATTTTGTAAAATACGATGCAACAACGTCGTCCGTGTACAGAGCTTGTCACTATGGCATTCATATCTTCTAAAACGTTCCTAATACGCTGAAATCAGCCAGGGCAACGATGAAAGAAATTGTGAAATCACCGATTCATCTTTAGTATGATAATTAGTCAACCGGTACTTAGGTACAGTAGAGTACTTAAAGCCCTGCGATTTGAGTGCACTCATTAGCAAGTAGTAAAATGCAAAAGCGTAGTGCAGAGAATGCACGTCCCTCTTTCACTGGTTAGCACAATTGTACGGTACTTCTGCACACCTTGAAATACTTTTTTTCAAGCAGGGCATAAGTCCGTATGTACTTAACCGATGTGCAATTACATGCTCTTCCCAAAGTACGTACAATGTTCGCGAGATAGGCCGCGAAGTGAATCTCACTTGTTGACAGAGAAAATCATGACGTCCACGAGTTCCCCTGGAATGACCCGCGATTAGTCTGTTATTGTTTTCTTTTCCCCTCTTCCTTGTACTTTAATCGTCGCCTATCAGCAAACGTGATATATATACACATAGATATATATCCACAGTTACGTTCCTTTTATAGAAATGATATTTTAGATACGAGTTTTAAACCATCATTGCCCACGCTGTAATCTATGCCCATTTAGCCATTAAGCCTCGTGTAGCACGTCCCACATTGCTCGGACGTACCTGTACATTTATTTTGTTAGTACTTATATCACCTACGCTTAAATCATCGAATTATACCTGGCGATTTCGACATATTATATTTACATACACATACATATACATATATTTTTGATAATTTAATACTCACTATAAGTTTATGTAAATCTATATGTATTACAGAATACAATTATTTTACGACACCGATAAAAATGTGGCTGTTCGTTATTATAATCTTGTTCCTATCGACAAGACTGCCGATCCCTTTAGAGATTAATCGTCTTACATGCTTTTCTTTGTAAACATTTAACTTCAGGCTAAAACCGGAAAATATTTTGCATACATTTGTTCTACAGTAGAAATTAATCAAGAAGCGTTGGTTCTTCTACCTCGATGGGATGAAAGGTGTCGCAAGTATACGCGGTATGAATGTTGAGGTTATGTTAGGACTCACCCATTACTTGAACCCGGCAAATCGCGCAGGTGTCACACTCGACGTCCCAACTCCACATTGCCACAGCATTCCATTTTTTCAGAGTGAAGAGATTCTCCGACTTCAAGTTGTCACCATCGCCTCGATCAGCTCCTAAATCTTGTTCGCTGCCTGACATCTTCACTTTGAGGTTAACTGAGAAACGGTTATAAAGATGATTTGGGAGATAGCTCACAGGCACGGTCGCGCGATTGCGACCTGTGCTGCTCCCCGGTGGAGGATATGGACAGCTAACGCACTTGCCACCTGTTACACCCAATGGTGACAAGTACGTTTGCCGCCCGCACCAACCATCAGGGGGCAACACAGGACGCGATCGCGCGACCCTGCCCGTAAGCAATCTCCTAACTCATCTCTGTCTGATGCTCCTTAATAAATAATTGTCATTATAACACGTCAATTTATTCTTAATATTCTAGAAATTTAATTCTTTAATGGCAAATAATTAAGGGGGGAAAATGTAAAATTCTTGCGAAGGACTGTTCCTTTAATACGTATAAATACAACACGCGCACTTGCATATGCCTCATGCGACTGAATCAACCAGAAGTGCATCTCCAGTTGGCTGCACTTTGCAAAAATTTCGAAAGGCATGGGATGGATTGGCTTCCCTTGACTTTACCCATTAATTCGTTTGACATTTTTGTCGGTATGCAGTCTTTGAAAGAATGCCAGTAATTAGTATGTACAATTCATCATTCAGGGAGTCAAGTTCAACTTTGCAGCCTCTTGACGTATCACAGAAATTAACTCCTGGTTTATTAAGAATATAAAGCGTAGTCCTGCAACCTGTAACAAAGGTGGAAAAAATGTAATTCGTTAGGATGTGAACGAATTAAACACTAATAACATTAGAGTACGCTGTAGTTAACTTGCTGTACCTCAATAACGGAATTATTATTTAACTTCATCTTGTTGCCAGCAAGTATTGGTCTGCTGTCAACGAAAATTGGTCGCTTGCCTTCCGATGACAGGAAAAAATCACCGTTGTTTCTTAATCGAATAGTACCTTGCCTCCGAGAGACTTTCCACGCTGGACCCTCTAGAGTCAAGTCCACATCTACACTGTGGTCTTTTGTTGATCTTCCAACGGTGATCTTCGTTTAATAAAAATCAATTATATTCAGATAATTTTGTTAAGTAACGGTCATGTTATTAAAGTATAATAAAAGATCTAACCTCTCGAGATCTCATAAGGTATCTAACCAGTCTGCCTCTAAGGATCGCTAATGTTTGATTATCGAAGTCTGGTGGATTGACCCCTGTTACACTGTCAACGAGAACTTGCCATCGGCCGAGTTCATTCTCTAGGACTCTAATCTCTTTTTTATTTTTTCTGTCAATCATTGCCAACTCTGCATCTATAGCTTCATCCTTTTGTTCTGAGAGTTCTGCATCGTTGATCATATCTTCGGCATCCGAGAAGTTAAGTACATGCTCACCTCTGGGCAAACTCTGTACCGACTGATCTGGCAATAAATGATACTGCTTCATAAGTTGCCAGTGAGCAAGCAGTGCTTTGGCAGTCCTAGCTGGGTAAAAAGTTTGCGGACTCGTTTCCAGAAGTTCTTGGAAAGTTTCAAGCGTCGGTGCAGAAGTCTAAAACAGATCAAGAAAATATTTAATATAACTAATTTAAAAAATCGACAATTACGTTACTACCTACCGATTTAACGGTACCTAGGAGATCTTCTTCTGCTTTACTGTATAAAGTTCTAGCTTGCACGCTGGCTATGAGTTCTGGGTGCAAGTTCCGCATCGCTTGCACAGCAACACGAGAAACTGCACTGTCATACAATAATGCATACCACCTCTGTTGTATTTCTTGCAGAGTGAACCGACAAGAAAACTTTGTACCACGATGTACCTATTGTACAAATTACAGCTATGTAGAAGAGCTATGCAAACTTCAAGAAATTATCAGCAGTCTATGATTATTTTTAATCCGCTTACCATTTTAAGGTCATTGGTCTGCTGAACGCCAGTAATTAAAGCTAAGTCATCCGTCGGTTTCCAGCGACCAAGATCCTTGGTAGCATTGATCGAATGCGAGTGATTCTTATTTTTCTTATTTTTCCTACCAGGCCCGTTTGAGCCACTAGGCCTACTTATTTTACGAGGGCAGCGATCTGGCTGTGGAATTGTTGCAGAGACTGACACAGGACTGGGCAGAGTTTGCGTCGGTAAAATATCCAATGGTCCTGTCGATATCGATACACTGCGTGACCGAGAATTAGACTTGGCACTAGTTGTAGGTGGCTGTAGATTAAATGTCGTTTCGACTAACTCATCGTCGAACTTTCTACGTTTTATTGTTCTCGATGAACTGTTTGAACAAGAGTAACGATTAACGTTTTTCATATAAAAATACAGTGATGGGATATTGAGGTTAGGACGCTAAAGTGTTACCTTCTGCGTTTCGTTGCCAGAGCGTCGAGACTTGGGGATTCGACGGGAATATTAAGAAACGAATCCGCATCGTGAGACATACTTCCGTGATTCATACTCGACGAAGGAGAAATATCCATCTTCTATAAATTAAAAAGTAACAATTCAATCAGAGGGAAAACATTTCACTAGAAATCACAGGCGCACGGTCTGACATTTTAACGACACTAGCATTCTGCGCATATTCCCTTTTCATCCCGAATTCTGCAATTCTATTGGTTAATACCGTTTGGGAGATCACGAAACCAAGCAATCCTATTGGCTACTCCCGTTGTACCGTTACCCTGACGGACCAATAAGAACGTCGAGCACTGAAGATAGAGAAGGTTGAAGAGGTCCGCTTTATCGACCGTGGATAGAGGGAGTGAAAAAAGGCGCGCAAGTTTGAATTCAAAACGTCTCCGTTTTCTGAGATGTACCAGTTGTATTAAGAAACTCTTAATTAAAGGAGCTCCAAATTTAAAAATGCCACTTTTATTCTTATTCTAGGATAAAAGAAACAACGTATAGTTTCGAACGGCAGTCGATTTTGATTAATCGAATTCAAAAGCGGTTCGTAAATTCCCTCTCGCACGCGAGACCCGTCCATTATGGCGCGCCAATTAACTAAATCACGTTTAACGCTACCTCGAGGCTTCCTTTTAATTTTGAAGCCATTGAAAGCGCTTTACCTAGAGCGGGCGGATGTATAAGGCAAATAACTCCCCGGACATATTCCCTCTTTAATATAAAAGTCGTTTTCCAGATATTACGAGGTAGTTAAAGGGGCAGGACGCTCGACCGAGGATGAGAATCCTCGCCAGGGGAGAGACAAGGCTCGGGTCGTCCGCGCTTCTTACGTCGCGATGCTCAGCGAAGTGGAACTCTTTGAAGTGAGAAAGCCACTCCGACGATGTTATACAATGAGGGGGGTGTAATTAGAATTCACGTGTAATGAATGGAGCGCACGAGCGCTTAATAACTTGCTTAAAGCCTCTGTGAGATCACCTTTTTCCGCGAAAGTTGAGCTTCCTTCGAGTCGACCGTCAAAGTATCGCAAACGATATCGACTACAACAACTCAAGACGACAATCGACATTAATCGCTTCGTCGATATAGTTACCATTCCGATGGAATCCGCAAAGACACCACGCCGCGAAATAGAACGCATCAAAGCAACGAAATATTTTGCAAATGCAAAGTATAATTATTTCACTGGAATAAATTCAAATAAAACGAGGGAATTTCAATGAAACGTTGCGTTCGATTTATTCCAGTGTATCTGAGTGAAACAATTATTCCTTGAATTAACTAAATATCTCTTTGGCACTATGTAAAGGGATATTTTTTGTTCTCGGTACACCGAAATTCACTTCAAGGACGCTCTCGAGGAACGAAGTGATCCGTAATTAATATTCATCGAGTATTTCTGACGGTTTTTTGCGGGGTTTGCTAAAATCAGGAAGACTGTTTAAAATGTATTAAAACCGGCCGGTAATTATTCTACAGCTCGTCGACGAGTGGATCGGGCGAGAGGAGCTAATTCGAGTCTGCATACGTGAATTCGTCACTTTGAATTCCCGTCCCGGGGAACGCAATTTATTTCCGCGACGCGGATTTTTATACCCCTGACGTTATTTTCGCCCCGCCGCGTCATTTCACTGTTAATATCAGGACCTCCGGTCTCTGGGAGATCCGACAGCGGCCAAGAAGTCCCGACAAAGTCCTGCGTTCTCCCGGGGCAAGGGAAGACCTAGGACGGAGGAAATCGTGGGAGAAAAAGCGATAGGTTATCACGAGAGTCGTCGACAGTTATCCTCGGTCCAGGTTTTCGGATCATGGAGCCCGCCGAGAGAGCCGAAACAATCGTTCCGACTCGTCGGCCCGAAGAAACCCCCGGAAATTGCAGTTCGGAAAATTCGATTAACGCTCGATCGAGCTCCAACTAAGTTGAAACAAGGACACCCTGGTTTTCAAGCCGCGACCGATTTCAATCGGGGTCTAAACGATGCCGGGAAGTTTCGGGAAAATCCGCGGAAAACGCGTCCGTTACCCGAAATTCAGGTGAATAAAGGGTCCGGGGAGGCGGGAAAATAAAAGAAAATAAAAGCGCGGAGGAGAAAGCAGAACAGTGGTTCCTACGAGAACTCCGCAGGTCGACAATGCAGACTCCCTTGGCTGGTTCCCGATAACAGAAGGACCCGTTAAGGGGATGCGAAAGTGGCATCCGAGAGGTCAATCGTTCATGAAACTTTCCTCTGGGTGTGAGTACCAAACCGTTCCAAACTTCGCACCATAAATATGGAAACTATAAGGAAGGTCCTTACACCCATGCATTCCATTTTTTACCAAAACATTGAAAATATATGTAAACAGATGTTTAAAAAATTGAAATTTCATGGTTGTTAGGACCTTCCCTATAGCCTCCATATTCAAGCTGTGAAGTGTGAAACGCATCATCATCGAAAAACAAACAACATCGCCTTTCATTCGTTAAGGGGGCATTCGTTAAGGATAATTCCGCACCCAATCCGCCTGCGATCCGCACGCGGCCGGGCAGATTCTACTTGGACAAGCCGCCACAATTCGCGGTAAACAATAACCCGTCGGCCAGGTCGGATTATAAACTGCACGCAGTGCCGTGCGCGATTTTAGCGAGCCTCCACTTATGCAAATCCTGGAATATATTAATGATAATTATGTGCGTCGCGAACACTCGACAGGCCTTCTATGTACTGCGGCGTGCATTATCGCCGTCGCGTTTACGGATAATGCGGCAAATTCTATAATCGAGCCCAGCGTCCGGAATCGAGGGAATAAAACACGAGCGGGGTTCCTAACGAGCGCCCGTTTCGAGAAACGGACCGCTTTTTTCGATCCATCAGTTGGAACGACCAGAAAGGTTCCCGAAGGGGTTAATAATCGAGCCGGGTGCCTCGTTATCGCGACGACGACTTTTTTCGCCCCCTTCCGCCCGCGGAAAATATTTTCGAAACGCCGATTTTTTCGCATGCGAAAGTGGCATCAGACTTTTGTTTGTGAAACTTCTTCAAACTGGGCTTATCGAATCGTCTCAAACCTTACAACGTGAATACAGAAGCCACAAGGAAGGTCTCGAGGTCTATGAAATTTCAATTTTAAGATAATTTATTCATGGGTATTTTCAAAATTTTCGATGAAAAAACTGAAATTTCGCGAGTTTCAAGACCTTTCTTGTGGTCTCCTTATTCATGTGGTGGAATTTGAAACAAATTGGTATATCCAATTTGGAGAAAAGTGTCATAGACGACTGAATCCTCGGATGCCACTTTCGCATCCCCTTAAGAAATCGTTCAAACCCGGAGAAGGGTGCGTGAAAAGGTGGACGGCTTTTTCGACTCATCTCCGTAGCGATTGCAAGAGGAAAGATTTCCAGGGCGTGGAAACGATCGCAAGGTACCCCGGGATGTCTCCGATTATCCCTCGGGGGCGATTTTCTCCCTCTTCCTGGGGCGCTGCCATTTGTCACGAGTCGCTGCCATTTGCCACGGGTTGGCAGGACTCGCTGTCATCCGGTCGACATTCGGTGTCGAGCGGCAGCAGGCGGCACCGTTTCCCGTGATTTTCCTGCATTTTCCAGGGTGTCTGCGCATTTTTCTTGCATGTGCCAGCATTTTCCGAGACTCGGCGGCGACCTCGAGGAGAAATCGGCCGGGTCGTTAATTCAGTATCAGCGAGCGATTCGTCTTCCAGGGTATTCGGGTTGCGCCTCGTTCGACCGTCTAAGATCGGAGGCGGAGCGGGGTGGTCGGCCAGAAAATGCCCCGGGAAAGGGAAAGGGAGGGGAATTTTCCGGAATGGGGTATTTTCGCAGTCCATTTGTTTTGATCGGATTTCCAACTGTCTCTCCCGTAATCCCGGATCCCGTGGCCCCCGAGGACGTCGTCACCCTCCAATGAAAACCCTAACGTCTACATCCTCCTTCCGGCGTCTCCTAGACCTCGCTCGGGTAATAACTTCTCCCCTTTCCCACCCCGAGGTGCCCCGAATTCGGTCGAGGCCGAAACGGAGGATACGTGCCCGCGACGCTCCCTATTACCCGCCGCGGAAGAAAAAAAGGAAATCGATTCCGCCCCGGTGGAGGTCCTTCCGCGGCCGAACGGATCGATTCGACTCGACGCCGGCGGGAAATTCTCCGGAAAATTTCCGAAATTTATGCCCGGCCGTTCCGAGGAATTACCCCCGAAAATTCCAAGAAATTACCCGGAAAAATCCCGAGGAAAATGCCCAGGTGAAGAGCTCGACGCGTCCGTCCGGTTTTCCCTTCGGGACGCCCGGCGCCTCCGATAACCATAAAGATAACGGCGGATCCGAGTTTTCCGTGTACTCGCCCGAGTTCCCCGTAATCCTGCGGAATTCCGGCATCGGCGACACGCTCCTTCTCCACGGAAGTCGGAAAGGAGTCTTTTGTGGGCCCAAGTGCACCAAGGATTCGCGTCCTCTTCCGGTAGGCGCGGCGGAATCGGCTTTCCCCTTTGTGCGGGGATCCTCCTTTGCCTTCTTCGAGGGGGGCGCCTCTCCCGAGGGAGGACCCACTCGCTTGGATTCGCGTTTCGACCGATCCTTTTTATTTACTCCGAAGTCCTGCGACGCTTCCCTCCGGCTCAGGGACATCTCGATAGCCCACCGTTTGACAAATCGTACCCTCGATAAGAGTACGTACGGTTACGAGATGCGAGCAGCCAGATTGCGACGCCACTTGGACTCGTCTCCGGCCTCCGAAATCTCCCGGGTCTTTCGGTCCAGGAAGGATCTTCGTGGAATCTGGACAGGACTCTATCTTCCTTGTCTAAATTGTATTGCCTCGGAGTGTCGCTCACCGGAAGAGCGAGGATCGCCACAGGAACCCTCTCTCCATCTTTGTCTGGTGCGGGGGGATGACACGAGACGGAGATAACTGATAATCTCGATCGGAGGCTATCACGAATGAGCGGTCCCGATTGTTGCCTAAAATCGGGTTTCAATTTTTTCAATGGCAATTGGGATCGATCAGATGAGACATCTTCCCCGGATAAATTGTATCGTCTCGGAGTGTTGCTCACCGATCAGAGCGAGGATCGTTCTGGACCAACAAAGGACGATAAGAGACAGGGATCCGATCATTTCGATCGTCAACCATCTCGAATAAGCATTTCAGG